CTTCCAAAGAATATGTGGGGCCTGGAAATACACCTAAATGGCAAATTGGGAAATAGATACTAAGCAAGGCAATGAGTGGGGATGGTATGAGTATCTTCAGCAGTTTGCAGTGGAATAGCCTCCTCTCTGGCTCAGTAGCTGCAGACAGGCACTGGGTCAGCACAGGCATATCAGATCCCACACACTGAGCACAGCATTTGTTCAATTAGTTTCAGTTCACGTTCGCAGCAGAATGCAATGTGCCTGTTCCCCAGGTATGAGTTGTGCCACGTCTTGTCTCCTGACCCAATGTACTGTACAGCATCCTCCATCACATGGCTTGGCATACGAGGTCTTTCACAAAGAGAGCGCAGAAAGTTGAGAGTTCTTAAGAGCTGTTTTTCTAAGCACTCAAAGGGATGTAACTCAGCCTGGAGGTTCAGAGGCTTTTTTGCCCATTACGACAATTACTACAGATGAAGGAACACTCTTAAAGAAGTGTTTTGAACAGTTGTAGTCTCTAATAGCTACAGAAGTATCGGTCAGGCTGTAGCTTTCAAGTTTTTAAAAAATGGTCTGTGAAAATTCATTTAAGATTTTTACACAGATACAGCATGACTGAATATGTGGTGGATGCTTTTGTGCAGTGTGGCAATAAAAAAGAAATGTGGGTAAGACATGAAAGCAGCAACAGTTTGTGACTGTTAAGAGAGATGAAGAAACACATGTGACATTCTGAAATATTCCTGTTGTGCGCTGAAGAAAGGAAGGAATTTTCTGGTGTAGGTTGTACCAGTTGTAAAACAATGTGTCTGATTAATAATGCATTCTATTGAAAAGGAATGGGAGTTTTGCTGAGGTATGATTCATCGTTGTCTGTTACAGTAATTAAGTCTGTTGCTTGCCTTGAGGTCAGCATGACCCTGTTTATTTTAATTTTTCAGTCTCTGGAGAAAGGAGGGCCTTATTTAACTACTTGTGGAACTAAAGCTGAGTGCACAGTGCCTGGATGTAAACCAGTGTGTGTACACAGTGTGATCAGGTAATGGGGAGCTGGAAGCAAACTGGAAGCAGAGTCACTTAACAATGCAGATGTACCCATAGATGTGCCAGTTTTTGACTTTGAGAGTAGGATTTAGTTTGAGATGGAGGATGTGATTCTGTGTCTTGTTTATGTACTTCTTTTGCAATGAGATGCTCTCAGATATCCTGCCTGGCATGGTCTCCTACAGGTGTTTGTGGTACCTGTGTTGCTGCCTCAGATACTGTGGAACATATCAAAGAGGACTAAACATCTTTGTGTAAGCAACTGAATTGAGCCCCAAGACCCCTCAATGTAGAGGTCTTTGTGCAGCTCCAGCTTCAGCACCTTGTGGTCAGTGAAGCCAAGTGTGGTCAGTGGAGCTGGGGGAGTCAGCTCATGTCGAGGTAAATAAACAGCTGAATCATGTCTCAGATCTCTCTCAGATCCCTTGGTTTTATTGATTATAATGGAAATTTCTGCCTAGTGAATTGGTAGATATCTGGAGCGTAATTCCCCTGTAGGTGCCTGCTTTCATGGTTTTCCCATTTCACTGGTTTACCTGAGGTGTCCGTAAAGGACTGGCACATGTGACAGAGGACTTGCTTCAGAACTCTGCTTCTTTGGAGCAGCAGGAAGAATCCAGACAGAACTACCCAGAACATCTCAAAGTTAGACAATGCCTGTGGTTAGGCAGCTGAATTGCAGTCTGTATTTCTGGGTGATCTTAAAGGTCCCCTTTTGTACATCTTCAAAGTACAAGACTGAGAGTGTTTCTCATGGAGGAGACAATCTGGGCTCCACATAAGTACTCTCCATACCAGTGTGGTATGTATTTTTAGCTTATATAGATGATATTTTATGTAAGATTTTGTGCACACTCCAGTATTATTTCTGTATAAACACAAAATGCATGTATGCCTACAGCCATTTTAAAAACATTTTGAGACGAAAAATAGTTGTCTCACAATTAAATCAGTCATTCACATTGGCAGGACGCAGTTTTAGTTCTTTTATACACAGTCTGCATGCAGAGTGCTTCAAATACTAAGTTCTTGGGGACTTTTCAAGTAACAGTCTCTACTTTTACCTGCTAAAGCTGCTGGCTAAATCAGTCATTTGATCATAAATAACCTCTCATCTTCTTGGGGAAAAAACATTAAATTTTACAATCATATATTAATTTTCCTGTCTGATTGCATGGGGGACCAGCTCTTTCCTTGTTCTGCCTTATAAATGCATGTCCTGGTAAATTGTTTTTATGATGCCATTTATCATTTTTGAGCTTGTGTGCTTTAGACTTTTGAAAATCTTGTAACCCTGAGGTTATAACCTCAAGTTACATGTCCTGTTTCACTTCTATTCCTGTGTTCTCTATCTGTGAAAAACATGTCTTACAGAGTCCTGTAAAATATTATTCTCTTCTTTAATGCCTAGGGTACAAGGTTACAATTTTATATACATTTTGTTGGGATAATTTCTTGATCATCTTTCCCCTAACAGCTGTTCTGTCAATTCATCACTTACATGACTGACTCATTTCGCACAGATTCAGCAGCTCATTTCAGCAGGCAGAGCCCCTCTTTTCTGGTCGATGTGGTATCAGCAGCTGCATAGTGACTAACTTTTCATTGCTTCTGTATACAACATCTCTTATACATAAACTCCATGCTCATTGCCCATTCCTGGAATTCCTGCTCTGGCTACTAATCAAACACAATAGAGCCCTTTGTGCCCTCTTGCCCTTTCTTCTCCTCTGGAACTTCTTTTCCATGCTTATATCCAAAGCAGGCAGGCTTCTTTTCCTTTTTGCATTCCATTCCTGAATATCAGGTTAACATGTTCCTCTTTAACATCTCCCCTATGCTAATATTCTTTAGCACTGATGTGGTGTTTCCAGCCACAAAGCAAAGTCAGAGACAGACACTACAGCATCCTAGACGTCTTTCTAAAAAACATTCTGGGCAGTGCATCCTAGAGAAATTTTGCTTGTGGATGCACTACAGTTATGGGGCAAATAAGTTTGGCTGGCATTAGTCACATTACACTTCTTTAAAAGGTGAATTTCCTGGCTTTCGTTTTTGTTGGCCTGGTAAATTATTAAAAGTGACTCTTTCAAAAATCACCTCTCACACACATATCTATTTCTTGCAATGTTTGTTTTCCTTTTGGATTTCTCTAAACTTTGGCTGTCAGTATAATACTTCAAGAGCCAATTTGGTCAAGTTAATATGTTGAAGATACACAATTGTACCATGCTGGTAGGAAACCAGTCAGTCATTCCCGCATTTCTTAGCTGAAAGAATTTGTACCCCACTTGAAAATGCATGGCTGAGGTCTCCTGTATCTAGTGTCAAATACAGAACGTTTATAAAGCTTCTAGTTCACTTTCATAATAACAGAAAAAGATACCAATCACTATCCTAAATCATTATTTATTACTTTCTGGACAGTTTCTCTTTCATGTCTTCAGTGGAGTGCTTTGTCTAAAATCTAAGAATGGGATCGACTAGGCTAGAGTAGAGCCTTTCAGTTGAAAGAGACCCACAGTGATCATCCAGTACAACTACCTGACCAGTTCAGGGCCAAGCAAAAATTAAAGCATGTGGAGTATATAGAGAGAGCATATATTTAAAAAAATACCAAAGATATAATGAAAACTTTCAATTAATGTGAAAATTGTTTTCAGTGAAAGCACTAAATCACTAAAGTTTCCAACATTTTAAAGCTTCAAGAAGCTTTAAAATTCAGGTTTTTCCCTCATATGGTACAGAAGAATCAGAAATTGTATCTTTCAAATTTTAAAGTGTTATTTAAAACATTTTTATTGAAAAAGATACTGTTCTCAGCACCCTCCCTAGCTATGTACTGGTACTTTTCTTTTGCAAATATTAATGGCCATATTCTTTATGCCTAGCTAGATGAGGGATCTGATCTAGCAAAACATGACCCTACAAAAACTACGAGTCTTCAGTTATATCAGCTGACTTCAATGCCACTGAACAACAGAGGGGGAATATACAATCAGCAGTGAGAGATGTTGCTTTTCAGCAGTAACCTGAGTCTAGAGTAACTTGAGCCAGTCATGAAACCATGTCCTGGGAGTGAAGGGTGAAAATGAAGTTTCACAAGCTGTACCAAAAATACTCTGCATATAAGGTTACACAGAAACTTAATTCAACTGGGAGTTGAGACAAGTGCTTGATTTTACTCATTTCAGTAATATTTAACTGAGTTTAAAATCAGGCATGTAGCTGGACCTTGCATGACTTGGAGATCCAAGAAAAAGAAAATTTAATCAGAATTATTGGTTTTATCTTCTGAAGTTATTTGTTGCCTAAAGAAATGTTTGATAAATATGTTTTTACCAGAAACATTCTCTGTACATGTACTTTAGCTGTATCTTGAAAAGATGCAGTGTTTGTTTAAATATGATGCAAGAGCTGTTTCTTTGTATATCCAGTGTTATATTGAGCATGTTCTCTCAAATATTGTTTTGACTTCCTATCCTTTTGTACAGGAGATATGGGCATAGTACCAACACAAAGATAATATTGCTACATACCTGATTTCATTCTCCTGTTAATCTTTTCTTCTGTTAGCAAAACAAAATACCTACAGTACACACTTCATGCTTTCTTTAGTGATTGTGATATCTATATAGTACAAAAGGGCACCCTTATTTCTTAAAAAAACCCAAACCATTTCAAAACCTTCTAAAAGCCTCCAACAAAGCTGTTGATGTTAATATGTTTCAGACTGATAAATTCATGTGTGCCTGGCTGGGAGCACCATGACCCAGCACAGCGCTTTTATATTAATAAGACACAAAGTCAGACCATTTATCATTTAGTATAGCCAGTGCACAAATTAGAGAACAGCTTGCCAGGGTATATTGTGGTCTCATTACTTAGTTTTTGCCATAGTTGCAGAACAGATAGCTTTGAAACCTTCTTGTGCTCTGCTGTGACAGGAGAGTGTTCGTGTCATGGTGACCCCACTGAGTTGTTCAGCTGCGCACAGTGCTGACTCAGGAGCCTTAAGTGTGCTCACCAGTTTGCCAAGCAGCAGACTCTTCTAAATGAAACAAAAAAGAAAATTCCACAAAGACCTAAGCACTGGCAGTTAGCACAGGTGTAAGGTGTTCAGTGCTGCAGTCAGGGTATGAAACTTCAGGAGCTGTTTACTGGAAGTCGCTGAGGAGCACATGCTTTCAGTACGGTACAGTATATTTTATATTGCATATTTTCATACTGTTACTGTTTAATAAAAATATTAATATATCATAACATATGCCATCTTATATTGCTTCATCTTATTACTATTCAAATATAATATTGGTGAGACATTTTACAGCTAATAATAATGTTTTAAACATATTCATTGTCTGTATTTTCTGTCTCTTGTTTGCTGTCCTTGATTTGAGTGATTTCCTCTTAGGAAAACTTCAAAATACTAAAAGTTAAGACAACTTGAATTTTTAAACCCTTGAAGTAGACAACTCAGATGTAAAACTGCTCAGTTTCTTAAATGAATTAATTTTGAGGATTCTACAGATACTTTTAACTAAAGATATTTGATTAATGCTTTGGATTGCATATTTTCGTTTACAAATGTTTCTTATTTAATGCATTTTCAACATATAATACTTGTGCAATCAGTCTCCTGATTGAGTAAATTCTGAGGTTCAGATCTGTTTGTAATGTGATACACTCATCTACAGATGTATTTGCTATCCACAGATGGTGAGGTAGATTTTAAACTGCTCCCATTGTATTTGTGTCCACCCTTTGTTCATTAGATGGAAAATATGACCTAGATACAGTAGAGTGTGCTCTGCTAGTAGAAATCAGTGAAGCTCTCTTTCAAGAGTGAGGCCATTTGCTGTGAATGAGGTGGAGCCTCTGAACCTGTGCACTCCTTGGAGAGCTGCCACAGGCACTGCCTCTGCTGCCTGGCAGACAGCTCCCAAGTGTGTTTTAGCTGGGCGTTCTGGTATCTCTGTGTGCATGTGGCTGCCCCACACGCCTCTGCTGCACTGCTTCCAGGGGTGAGCCTGGTGGGATGGGGTGGGGGTAGGAATGAGTCTGGAGGCTTGGTGGAAGGAAAAACAAAAGTCTGGTTGTGAGGATGGCTCAAAAAGCTAACCTGTACAATCAGTACAGCATTACCCTTTGTGTACTCCTTTTAGATTTGGAAAAGATTCTTGGAAACACTCTATAGCAGCAGTAACCAGAAGAAAGAGTAGTATTGGTTTCCTAGAATTTTCTTTAGAAAATATGCATTTCAAGATTATCTCTCTCCTGACTTGCCAATCTTCTCCCTACTGCTTTGCTCTGAGATCTCAAGTGGCTGTTCTCAAAGCACTGGAGGAGATGTCTGAGACAGTTCTTGGAGAGAGAGCTGTGTCTCCTTAGGTAATAGTGAGAGAGCCTTTGCACTTACAGGAATGCCGCAGACCTGTACAACTTGGGGATATGTTTTACTAATTTCCCAGTCACCACTTTGATCATTACTTCCTAGCCCTGATTTGTGGCACCTTCTTCCCTCCCTTTCTCCTCCCTCTACTTGACTTCTTCCTGCTGCTTAACAAGCTCAATTGGTTTTATGTATGTAATTCTTTTTTTTTTTTTTTAAGAGAGTTTGAAGGTGGCCTCTGAAAGAATTGCTTTCATCCAAAGCCAGGAGCTGATCAAAGCAATGCACAAAAGGCAAATGGGAGCCAAGGCAGTGCTGCTGACCAGCCACAGGATCAGGGTTCTGTGCTGAAGAAATAGCAAAGCAAATCAGCTGCACTATGCTGGAAGCTGCTGATAAGGGATTTTCTCTCCAGTAACACCTGCAGAGTTTATGAGATCCTGTAGGAAAATCAAGGAAATCTGTATCAGAATACATTGTTTCTGGCAGAGAGGAATGTGAAAGCATTTACAGGATGAAGTGCCACTGCCTAAATGTATTTATTGCCATATCATTCATTAGGCTCAGTCTGCACTATTAATACAACACTGGACTATCACCTAGCTCACATTTATTTTTATCAAGTGGCTCCTTGGCCCAGTTGTCAGGGTATAAAGGAATGACAAGTCTTTGAAAAGAAGGTTCATGCTAAAACAAGAAGCAAATAAATGAAAACCAGTGCCATCATTATCTCTAAACCAGACTTCCAGTGAAAATTAAAATAGATTAATATTAGATGCTAAGTCACTTTTAAGTAAAGATTTCTTCTGAATTCTTTCTGCAGATACGGATTTTTGTCAGGCATCAGTCCCAGTAGTCCTTAGGATTATTATTTTTTAAAACTTGAAGAGTAATCCAATATATGGCTTTTAACAAAGGATTTCTGTTATGACCAATTTGAACTTTGACATTTTTATTTTGTTTAAAATAGATTAAAATATAGTGTCATTCTTAGCACAAAACAGTACTTTAAATGTATCAGAAAAAAATCAGCTCTGGTTTGAGAGTAGGTATAAGAGTTACTAGGGTGAAGGAAGCTTACATTTTCTGTAGCCATAAAGGAAGACCAAACATTGTCTTAAAAACAAAATAGTCTTTTATCCTTAATTAATTACAGGAATCTGATTGCAATTGGAGTTTTCTGTTTCCCCAAAAAACTATAGTGTAGGCTGTCACAGCTTGGATTCCTTGTCATTAAATTGCCAACATGCCTTAGTCCAGATCCCCCAGCATAGCTGCATATTTTAAAGAGTTTATGACAACTTAGATTGCTCTGGATTTTGTCAGGTTTTATTTTTTTTTTGGTTCAATGTAAAGTTGAATTTGTATGAGAAGGGTTTTTTTTTGGTTTGGTTTGGTTTTTTTTGTTGTTTTTTTTTTTTTTTTCCCCAGACATATCAGGAAATTGTTTTTCCTTTTTCTATAGAAAATATTAATTTAATTTCATTCATACATTCCCTGCATGAATTGTAGTATTTAAATTGAAAAAATGAACACTCAGAAGTAATGCTTATTGGATTTGCAGTTGAAAAAATTCAGCAAAAAAATAAGAAAATACTTTTTTTAAAAGCTGTCTTTACTATGGCCAAAATGGATGTGAAATAAATTCACAACAAGGATGATAAAAAATATTTATTTCCTGCCTGAAGATAAAAGAAAGCAATAGCTTTTTACTAGTGTTTTATTGAGGTGCTTTAACACAGATTTCTCTGAGTTTGTTTTCATCCTTTTTTATATTGATCAGTTAGGAAACGGACTTGATTTTTCAGTAGGTGGGGGAATTTTCCTGTATTGAATTTCATTGCAAAAGTGTCTGTATTAATCTCTGCAACAATCTCCTGAGAATAAAGACATTTCCCAGTTATTTACTTGTGCAGTGAGAGAGAGAACTGATTTCAGTGATTAGTATAAGAAATGTGGCTTGGAACCTAGAGTTGCCAAAAAAAAAAATAAAGGCTTGACACCTTTCAATCTGCACTCTTGTTCCAACATCCTGTTGCTTGGAAACATGAGTCAGGGGAGGAAATCATCTCACTGTTGATGCAGGAGAAAATCCCTGTCTGTAGTCAGCCTGATTTTCAAAATCAAAAGAAGGCCTAAGATAAAAATTAAAAGCAAACAGAAGGTAAAAAGAAGTGGTAGAGAGATCTGATGAATCTTGCTACAGTATGTTTGTTTTATGGAAGCAGCAGCAGAATTGTTCTTGGCTGTATAAAGGTGGTAGGATTAAGTTCTCTGTGACCTGTCATCAGCCTTAATCAGAGTCTCTCTGTTTCATCATGAGCTACTATCCAAATTTTTTGGAAACCATTAAGTTTAATCTGGACTGGTCTTTAGATAATATTTCTCATATAAGTCCACAAGATATATGGAAGTTCTAAGATCTGGTGACAGAGAATGAACTAGAATTTCTGGCAAATGTAACTGTGGTTTTATTTAAAGGTTTTATATTGCATTTAAAATGTAGTGGGCCAAATGGGGTCTACTGACCTGCCAAAATTTTGTCATATATGAAACACAGAGACTTCTCATTCATCTGACAGCTTTACTGCTGAGGAATAAATTACTTTCCTGAAGAAGTGGATTTCAATCAACAGATCCATAAGTGACTACTGATTTTATTCTTGTTGATATTGGTAGAGTTGGGCTCAGGAAAGAATTGTAATTTCATTTCTTAGCATCTTTTGAAGCTTGAAAATTTCTCTTTCGGGGTAAGACTAACAGACAAAAATCAAACCCTTCTTGAAGATTTTGGTGAAAATCATTTTGGTAAAACGTTGGTCTGGAAGTAATCTCAAATGAGATTATGGTTCCCACGCTCCAGTGTTCTATCATAAACCTCAGTCTTATGAGCCCTTTTCTCCCCTCTCTTACTGCCAAGTCAGTCTGGCAGAATAGTGCGGAAACAGATTTGACTTCCAGAAACTAGTATTTTTCTGAGAAACTGGCAATAATCCACCTCTTTACAATGCTTTTAGATGGTTTTGTACTGACAGAAAAAAGTTTTGTAAATTACTTCTACAGGTGATAATTTTGTGGCCCATGAACAACTAAGTTGATTTCTGGAAGAATAATTTTTAATTTCTTTTTGCTCATATGGTCTACAGCTGTATCACTAAATGAAACAATTGAAGGAGAGATTTCTGTGTGCCAGAAATAAATTTTCTGTTGTAATGTCTTGGCATAGCTCTGGTGCTTGTACTCCCTCTCTTCAGTGGTTCCCAGACACACTTCAGGAGTCACGATGGAGCAGTGAGTGTTCCCAAAGGGCATTTTGGATGGAGTAACCTTATTTTGAGACTAGTAGTAAAGACATAAAATGTAATACTGTATTGGGTCTCGTGGGGGCTGAGTATCAGGGTCTTTTACTTCTCCTAAGTCAAGAATTTTAACTTGCAGTAAAATGCTTTCTCCCTCCTCACAGAAAAAAATTAAGACAGCCTTTTAGATACTTAAATCCATTGTTCATGCAAACAAATCCTTTCTTTCTGTGCAAATGAAAAACTGCCTTTTGTCATAGTGATAGCAAATTCTGTTGGAGAGATGAGAACATCTTGCTATTCTCCTCTTAGAAATGATACAATAGAAATTACTCTGTAAAACTATTTCAAAAGAATGAAAGCTGGCTGCTCAAACTTGGAAAATATATTCACTGCTATAAAGCAATAATGAAAGGATTCATGTAGTAAAGTAGCGGTGTAAATTATATTGTGTAATGCAAAAAACTTGCAACTTAATATGAAACATTCCCACCTGTAACAATCTGTGACTTTTATCTAAGGCTGAATTTCTTGGTAATCAACCAGGTCTTCCTATTTTCCCACGTAATTACCTTGATTATTTTTTAAAGTCAACATAACACAGCCCACACATACTCTTTAGTTTCCTCAGGTTCTGCTGAGGGCAGGCTTTATTTATCAGTCTCTTTCAATGGGATTTGTTAAAAGCCCTGGATTACTTGCCATAGCATTCCTTAGGCTACTCAGTCTGTCCTTGGTGTAGGATTAATTTTGTCCAGAATTCTTGTGTTAGATCTTCAGTCTTCACAAAACCCTAGAGCTCCTCACAGCAAAAAGTGAGTAAAGTGCTGCTGTCTGTTCCACTATGCACAAGATGTCCCTGTGTGATCTGGGTGCTGGGACTGAATGTGCCCCTGCTGCTGGCATGGCCCTCTCTTGCTGTGCCCAGTCATTGTCATGACTCCCATGGCAGAGGGAACTCCTTACTGGAATCACAGCACTGGAGGACAGGGTCATAGCAGGTTTTCTTAAACCCTGACTAGTTCAACTGCAGTTGAACTTGAAGTTGACTCTAAATGTGACAGACATCCACCCTTAGGAAGGTCCCCATATTTCTTAATTACATAGTCTCTTTTTACCACTGAAATGCTGATAGTTCTTTATTTGGAATTTGAGATGTTCCTTTAAGTGACTAACAAACTTTTGCTCACATTTTCAGATGCCTGGACTTAGCATCTCTCTTTGCCAGCATTATCCATGGGTTTCTGAGGCATTGTCCTGACCTGCTTCATTTGTATCTGCAATTTTTTCTTGGGCTCCCTAGTGGCTCAGAGTGTTTTTTGTCTTTTTATCATGCTTTTATGAGGCTCTTCCAGGTTCAGCTCTTTGCCTTTTTGTCCCTCCTTATATTGGCAAGTATTTTCCTCTGCATGCTCTCCATGGAAACCGACCATGTGACAGGGAGATGCCCTTTGATTTATCAGTAGATGGGGTCGAGGGCCATCGTTCTCTGTCAGTGTATGGGGCTTTTTTAGTAGATCTGGTCACCATCTATGTGCATGGCTTGGACTCCCACAAGCATTTCAAAGTTTAGCCTGTGGCACCCAGTTGTATCCAAGAGAAACACAAATCAGGGCTGGGAGTGCTGAGGTCATTGAAGCAGGGACAGAGGACTCAGTTTTTGCTTCCTGATGCCATGGAGTCAGCAATTGACAATTCAGGTACCACAGTCTGAGAAGCTCTAAAGAAAAGAGGGGATGACAACTGTCATGTAGTTAGTGGGAAATGGTTTCTCCCTTGCTTGCTTTGGAGAAGTAATTTCTCTTGCAGTTGAGAATCCGTGGGGCTCTGAACAGCAGAGACTGGTGCTGGCAAAAAAGCTCCTGTAATGCCCATTTTGTTTCAGGTGGTGTGTATTTGATGATGAAAAATGGCTAAAAAATATTTATCACATCTTCCAAAATAGGTTCCTGGGTTTATGATTGTGTTTACATTGATTGTAAGACCACACAAACACATGAGATCTTACAAATCCAGAAAGCATATTTTTGTTTCTTTTTACCAACCCATTCACAAAATTAAATTAGCTGTCTAATAGGCAAACAAACATGCTTGTGTTGCAAATTCCAAAACCCACCTCTTTCACAAATAATATAATCTTAACTGATTCCTTATCTGTAACATCACATTGATAAGATGCTGGTTTCTGCCATCCTCAGGATTAAATGCAGGGTTTCTCTTCTGACCTCTTGTGGGCTCTGTAAATCCTGAGCAAGCATTCAACATTGGATATAATTAATTTCAGAGCTGACCTGGGGTTTCCTGGATATACCTTTGATAAAGCTTGTTAAGGACATTACAGATGCCAGGCTTTTCTCATTGTCTCCAGCTGCCTGTGGTGTAGGGGGAAGCAGTACTCAGAGAGAGCCAGAGGGTTCCTATCAGTGTGGGATGGGAACTGTGATCAGCTTTCTGTGTTGGAGGAGAATATGTAGCCTGATTTCCATATTAGCAGTGAACATCTCTAATAGGCTTTGCAGCTTCCCCTTCACCCCTTACCATCAGTACTATTCAGTGCAACTTCTCTGATTTTGTGTATATACATGAAATTTTTTTGGTAGTGCCTTCTTTTAGTCTAAATAATTTTATTCAATACTGCCTCCATTGTTTTATTGTTCTCATTATGGTTCTGTTAATATTGTGTATATCTATTACAGCAGTGTTATATCATATAGTACTAGCTATACTCTCTATGCAGTATTAACAGGGTACAAACGAGTGCACTAAAATATGATTATATATGTAAAATATGCTTTACAAAGTCATAAAAAGATATCCAAATCCACAAATTTGTATGTTGTTCCCTTCAAACCCCTTTTCCCATGACAAGAAGTATGTGGTTTCACAGTGGTTTTCCTTTTGCTTGACTGATTCCTACAGGATGCTTCCCAACAGGCGAATTTCCCAAGGAGCAGCCAGTGCTGAGGAGGGGCTGTTCACTGTTCAGGAATTACTGCCACAAACAGGAAGCGTTTCATGCTTTCTATTCACAGTTACTTGAGGAGGGAAAGGACATGGGGCCCAGGGCAAGAGCTACTTTGTAATAGGGAAAGAAAGCTGACATGGCTTTTGGTTACACCAGTTCATTGTGTTCCCTGGGGAAAGCAGGCGTCAGTTAAGTCCATGGAATATTCAGCTGGAATAGACTGCCTGCTTAATGACAGATTGAATAAATTACATGGTTTCACTAAAAGTAAAGTCCTAATAAATAAGTGAATGTAATATCAGTGCATGTGGATGGATACTGTTTCATTCAAAAAAGAAAAAAAAGCTTTTTTTTTTTTTACAAGGAAAAATACTGTTTAGGGTGAAAAGTAAAAGTTATATTTCACCATCTCTGGGTTACAGCAATGCTACATTATTTATGAGACAGCACCTCTGAAAGGTATATTTAACTGCTTTAGCAGGTTCAGCCTTGATGGGCCACGCAAAGATAAATACACAAAACTGTGCTGTTGCCCAGATCGTTTATTCTGCTCAAAATGCTTAAAATAGAAAGGCTGTTTAACAATAGATTGATGACTATTGAAAGTACATCTCCTCAATTGCTATATAAATGAAGGAATTACTTGAATCAGATTTCTAGTCACTTTTTCAAGAAGGTGCCAAAGCTTGCTGCCTTTCTGCTGAATTAGAGAAAGCTGTTACTTTTAGATAACTTCCTGTAATTTACCAGCAGGATCTGCTCAGTCACTGCTGCAGTCAGTGTTCTTTGCCTTTCTTTGTGGACAATGAAGCATTTCTCTTTCATGTGAAATATTGAGCCTGGCATCAGCATGCAGTGATTGAGTTCTGAGTGCTTGAATTGTAATATCTTTCTTTTTTTTTTTCTTTTTTTTTCCTCATCTCTTTTGCTTTTTTGTGTTTGTTTGTTTGTTTTTGGAGAAGATGGGAAATTCTTACGCTGGTCAGCTCAAGACAACACGGTTTGAGGAAGTGTTGCATAATTCTATTGAGGCCTCTCTCCGCTCAAACAACTTAGTTCCCAGACCAATCTTTTCTCAGTTGTATTTGGAAGCTGAACAGCAACTATCATCACTGGAAGGTAGGAAAAGAAATGGAATTTCTATTTCTGTCAAAGGCAATTCTGCTACTTGTTCAGCCATGGCTCAGCATACATGTTTTAAATCATAATATGGATAAACATATTTTTATTTGGATTTTTTATGATCTGCAGATATATATGTATTAGAATTGGATTAAAAATATAAAATGCACTGTGTTTTATTTTGACAAAATTAAGCCACTTGCTCAGATTCATCTATACACATAAATTGAAGTTCTAGGAATTTTCCATTACATTTGTGAGAAGTCTTTGGAGATTTGGATCATAAATCTGTTATCCTATAATTTATTATATACTGCTCAAAGTCACACAGAAAACCCATAATAGATTTATAAAAAATGTATGCTAAGACTGATTTTCAATGTGCATAAATACAGCAGAAATATTTTTTAGCTTTTGAGATGGTTTATAATTACTTCAGGCATAATATTTATAGTCATCCTGTGGTTGCAAAGGTAAAATTTAGGATGTGTACTTTCACAAATCCAGCACAAGTTGATATTTAACAAATGGGATTTCTCACTGAATTTGTGTGTGTTTACAGAAGCCTGGTTTCTCACTAATGTAGTTTAAATTAACTGTATGGATCTGCTAAAGAAGCCCATGATGCAGTTTGGTGTTTGGTGTTACTTGTAGTGGTCTCATGGTTTCCAATGAGTTTACTGGTGTGTGCATAACATTGGCATGGTGGTGTAGGGTTATGTTTAATAATTTGATTATTTAGTCATTTCTGTCAAGAGAGTGGAGTTTCATGTCTTTTATCCACATCTACTTTCCCTGTCATACTTTGCTGCTGTTACAGTGAGAAATGCGTAAAGGTCCACAGTAACAGACATACACACACACAAAATCAGGCCAAGGAGCAGTAACAGATAAAAGTATCTTGCACAGAATAAAGTCTTTGTTATTGCCTCACAGTGACAGCTGTGAATATTTCTTGAAAAAAAATCTGTTCACACATCATTAGTAATTTTTTTTCTTTTTGCTAATATAGGACAAAATAATGAATATACATTAATTGTTTAAATATATATGCTGTTTATTTCCAGCACAAAGCGATCCTTCTATCAAACCCTTCCATAAGAATTTAATAAACTTCCATGGTAGCTGTGATGTCACAAAACTGATTATGACATCAGTTGAGAAAGATAGCACAGGAGCAGATGCATTGTTCAGGAACAGAAGTGCAATTTCACACTTCTGTAGTTAGTTTCTTTCTTTCTTTCAAGACTTTCAAAGAACTTTGCAAACCTTGAGGGGCTGATTCTGTGTTCGTTGTAGTTAATGGAAACAGAATTGAAGTGTAATTAAAAGTCTCATAACAGCATGGCAGAGAGCATTCCTTTCATGAAAGTTTCAGACAAGGGGAACTCTGAAGTGACCTATAATAGAGTGACTCTTACGTTGTTCCTCAGGTGGAAGAGGTCTTCAAGCTGCTCTTACATAATGCAGCCTTGTCAGAAATTGAATCTTCCACTTCTAGCTGCATGAAGCCCTATGCTCTGAGGGCCAGGAGGCTCCTGAATCACAGAGACATCCTAGGGGGCTTGTGCAATGCTAATGAAACCCTTTACAGGTGGCAGCAGCTCATGCTCAAGTGCTCTCTCTTTTACTTTTTCCATGTTTGAACTGAAAATGCTGTAGCTCTCTTATTTCTTAGTCTCCACTTCCATTTTCCATTTCTTTCTTAAATCACCTGTTATGGTTGAACAGACCTCACAGTTTACCTTTGTCCAAAAGGGAAATAAAACATATTCTGTTCTTTTCGTCTATCCATACATTCCCATCTTCTCCCTTTTCATGAATTTTGCCATCTTTTGGATCTTCCGTTGTGCTAATTTAATACATAAACCCAGCAAAAATAAAAGAGGAAATCTGTGGTCATGTTTTTTTTTCCTTAGTTGGATTTTTTGTGGTTTGGCAAGCTGGGATGGCTCAGCAGAGGTTCCATTAAATGTCAGAGCTGGCACAAAGAGGGAGGGAGGGAGGGAGGGAGGGAAGGAAGGAAGGAAGGAAGGAAGGAAGGAAGGGATTTCTTGTCTTGGAGCCGGGGGAAGGAGTGGAGAGACAGATTCAGCCTTTTTGCATTACATTTGGATATTAGTCAAGGTTATGTCATAACACATAACTTACCCTTTGCTTAAATAGCATAGATGAAGGGTTTCACTTTTCCCTTCATTCAGTTGCAGCATTTTTGTCTTTAGACCATGCCCTTAAAATAGTTGTGTTTAGTGTTCTGTTCTTAGGTGTGTGCACCACACAACTGGAGCTTAATGTTCAGAGTTCAAAAGTAAACATACCCTTCAAATCCTCTTCTAGATTGGACTGTAAATCTTAATAACCTTGACAGATAAATCCTCAGACTCCAGATTTACTTTTTCCTCCCTAGCTCTCATTTATCCTATAGTAGTTTTCTAGATGATTGTACAACAATTTGTCAAAAAGTAAAAGGATATTCTGAGGAGGGTCATAGGAAAGAAAAGAGAAATGCTTAATGATATCCTGTGGGATTCTGAGTACCTGATCTGAAGTCAAATGAAGCAAAGAGTTGGCACTGGGCTTTGGAGGATGACTGCACTGCTTCATTGTTTTTCTGTTTCAAGACTAAAACCTGGATCAACAGAGTTATGTCAGTGCCTAACTGCTCTTTTACTTGCCCAAGTACAAGCAGCTATTCAGCTTCCTACTGGTCCTCAAGGAGCTGCAGCCCTTCACCACCCAGTTTTGCCAGTGGGAGCTCTTGTGTTTGCTGCAGGCATGGCCCTACAGACCGCTAGAAGCCTACAAACCCAAGAGACAAACCCCATTGGGTTCATTTAGTACTCGTGCACTGTCTCTCTTGCATGTAAAATGTTCTTCAGTCCTGTCTGTGGAAGTGTTTTCCCCATTCTCCAGTTAATTGCTCTCCTCTCCTTGCCACATTTGTCCCGTTTGCCAAAGAGGGGGTGGAGCCATTGGTCACTATGGTCAGTTTTGCTGGAGCTGCTGAATCTTGCATGAAAAAACCATTGTCCTTTGGGTGGAGAGAAGAGGCAGTCTCTAGCTGAAGGGGTGAAACACACAGCAATAAGACCCCCTAAAACACCTAACACATTCTAAAAATTGAAGCTTACATCATGTATTCCCCTCCAGTGTTCAGTACTGCCTCCACAGTGCTTCCTGGACTAGCACAGTCTGAGCACAGGCTAATGTGAACAATCTTCCTGTACATCTGCCTTTCCTTGTCACTGTACAGGGAGTGCTGGTGCATTACTTGCAGCTCTGGATTCTGGTAGGAGACAGACAGGCTGAGAATTAGGTGTTCTTGTCGTGGCATCATCTGTGATGAAACTAGTTTCTAGCAGGAACTGTTTTTTCACTGTCCTGTACAAAACCAAGGACATGGTCAATACCTAATTAATAAATTCTGCACTTGGACTGTAGCCAGGACATTCTAAAGTGCCAAGGAGTAATGAGTTTGGGTTTTATTGGCTGTTAATATTATAAACAAAGGATACAGTTACGCTGTTTTGATCAGCAAGAGTTCAAGCATTAGAAGCTAGTCCCCTAAAAATTCTGCACTTGTTTTAAAATAATGTGATTAAAAAAATTAATAAGTTGATTCTTCTTTTTATTTATCCTTTAGGGTGTTTTACTTTCTCAGGTGAAGTTGAGTCATGCTTTTGAACTTCTGTTGCATAGGAACTAACATCTTTATTTTCTTGCTGAAAGACATTCTATCATAAGCATGACTGGAAGTTGGAACTTTAAGGAGTAACAACTATCAAGAGTTGGCAACAGTAAAGTCATTGTCAAGAGAAGAGAATCCAGTTTGCAGTAATACTTTCTGTAACTGGGTCACCCTGTTCACTCACTGATTTGTTGCCAGCATTTTCAGTTGTCCAAGTCATTTATGCTATGATAATTTGCAGCAGGCAACAGAGCAGATAATGAGGAAGAAGAAGAAGAAGAGGAGGAAGAAGAATCCTCAGAATCAAGTAGTCCTCCTGTTTCTTACCAGGTGAAGCCTCCCCCCGAAGGATGTTGCACTACTGATGGTAAGAGTACAAACCATGCTGTTAGAAGCATTTGCCCTACTGAAAAGGGTAGAATTTGGGCTATTTCCCCTATAATTTGTCATAATGAGATAATCTATATGATATAAAATTCCTAAAAATATCAGTCAGATAAAGCCGGATGGCTCTCAGTTGCTCTTCTATTTGGCAGGGTCTTTGTTCAGTGTCAGATAAGCATTTGTGTTGGAATGCCTGTCACAAGGACAGAACTATTGTTCTCTTAGGCAACATAGCCTTTAAATTGTTGAGTTTGCAGGCATAGCATTTGCTAAAATGAGTGTGATAATTCTTATTGCTTTATCACCACTCTTTCCTCTTTAAAGTGTATCTTATTCCATGAAGCTCTAAAAAATATCTGAAAACCCAGGAAAATCTGGTGAAATTTACCAGATTTTGAGAACTATTTTCTCCCTTTTTGAATGTCTGACCTAAGTTATGATGATAGTGATGAGTCCTGTAAATACATAGGTTACCAACTGCCACCAAGAGAAACTTCATTGTGCATTTTTAAATTTGTGTTTGTTTATGACTGACCAAAACAAGGGAACAACATTATCTTTTAGTATGCCTCTGATCTTAGAAGGTAAGACTTTGGTTTTCATTAAAAATACAGGAAGTACTTTAACAAAGACCAATGTGAGCAGGAAACAAAAACATCTTGTCAACTTAAGATAAGTTGAATGGATTTTTTTTCCTAGGTTTCTGCCAAGCTGGTAAAGATTTGAGGCTGGTTTCAATTTCTAATGAACATATTGAGGTGCCATCTGGATTTTTACTTGTTGGTGCAAAGTCACCAAATTTACCTGATCACCTGTTGGTGTGTGCTGTGGATAAAAGATTCCTGCCGGATGACAATGGGCGCAATGCTCTGTTGGGTAAGTGTCTGCCTGCAGTAAGTGGATTCTTCTGTGGCTTCAATTAACAGCTAATTCGGGTTTTTTTGAGTTCAGCAGATCTTATTTCTATTCCACATCTACAGTAATGCTCACAGGTCATGCAGAAGAAGATAGCAAGTCAGAGCTGGCTGTGTTTACTTTGGAAAGATACAGAGTGAGCCACTTCATTAGAGATCACCTTCTGTCTGTCAGTCCAAGGCTAAAGTCATTATTTGACTGGTGCATGTTCTAGGTGCTGGAACTGCACATCTGGGAACTGGACAGGTTGAAGTGCTGCCTGTGTCTATTGTAGCTTTCCAAATACGGATGTGTACGGACTGTAGGCATGTCAAGTGAAATTTCAGGCTCTTATATACATATAAACATTTTAATGATAGTTTAGACCACAAAAAATAATGACCAGTTCAATTTACCTCTTTGAGATAGGGATAATATTCTCCACTGTGTTTGAACAATAGCCTGGGTTCTGTTCCTGACCTATGATTTCTTGCTATCATCATAATTTAATTAAATAGGAGTGATTATATATTGAAATTTTTCCTACACATGAAATCAGTTAACACTGTGTGTTTGAAAAAATACTCTTAGGAGGATGCTTCAATTTATTGTGTTTAATCTACCTAAAAGTTTAATTTCTGACATAAAAATAGATCCTTCTTCTGACATAAAAATAGATCCTTCTATATATTTTTATCGTAGTCTTTCTGATTGCCATTAACTTCTTTCAAATCAAGCCAAATAGGGAAAATCTGAAATCATGTGAATTATTTAAATTAATATTAATGTTATTAAAATGGAATATTTTTTTTATATTGGGAAAGGTGGTGCATTATTGGAGGGGGAACTCATTTTTCAATCAGACACTCTCAGGTACGTGTATATTGTTTTCAGAGTTCAGCAGTAAAATGATGCATCATATATTTGTGCACCAGCCTGAGCTTTGAATAGCAAAAGGTAAATATTTCCCAATCATTTTAAGAGGTTTTTTTAACAAACACTGAGGGATATGACATGAACTCAATTGTTATCTCAGTTTGAGCAGCTCTTCAAGACATTTGGGTTGACAGTGGAGTGTGAAGGTGCATAATGTGATCCTATGTACAGTAATTTCTTTTCCTATGTGATCTTGTAGAGTTGGATTGGTCACAGTGCATTTGACCAGTGATTGTAAAAGAATTAGGAGGGTTGTAAATCAGCAGCGTGTTGTCATTTTAAAGATAAAGACAGGAATGTTGTACCACTCAAGTCATTCACTGCTAGCACTATTAACAGCTTAAGCTCCTTAGGCTGTTAGCAGAGAGGAAGTAGTGTATTTGTTAATTGCGTGCTAAACAAGAGCAGAAAAAGGCAACAGGAACATAATTGGGAGGGTTTTATACTACTAGCATCCTCAGTTTGCTTATTTAATACATTTTAGTTTCCTGAAACCATTTAAATGCTTATTTTTGACTGTTGTTATACACTTAAATCCCAGTGAACCACATTCTTTGGCAGAGAATTCTAGTAACTCTGTAGTATGACTTTTGTGTATTCTACAACAAGCTCAAATACAAAAGAGCTTACATACTTTAAGATCTGAAGTCTTCATCTGGAAGGTAGAGATAAAATAATGTTCCTGGTCCCTCATACAATGAAAAGAATTATGTATCATAATACATAATTTAATCAAAAAATGCTAACATGAGGATAGTATACCATTTGTACAATAGGTCATACTGGATATAAACAATTATTTGATTCAGGTTTTCATATCCCAGTGCAAGTCAAATCAGGGGAAGTAAAATTAGAAGTAGCCATGAGTAGTCTCATGGTTTTGGACACATAGTGGGATAAAAACCAGAACCATCATTGCTCTAAATAATCTTTAAATGTAGCACAGTGACCTCTGTCAGGCAGTAGATTTAAATTGAAAACACGCCATATGAAGAAGAGAAATCATTTAGTGTCTTGCTTTTCAAGACAGCATAGAAGCCTTATTTTTTGGTATTCTGACTTCTGTCAAACAAGTTGGCATTTTGAAACAGCATGGAAAGTGGTCCCTTCAAGCCTTTGTAAGTTTAGAGGGAAATTGAACTGGATTCATTTTGAATTGAAATGAGCTGTCATGAGTCACAGTATATATCCCACACTTTTAGAAAGGCTTGTTGGTGATACAGACACAGGATTTGTAACCCTTCAGCCTCACTTATTTTTTTTCTTTTCCCCAATTTAATGTTTTTACTCTTAATATACTGTACTTTAGTAAGGCAGCTGTTCCTCAGTACTGTCGATTTTTTTCAGAGAGTTTATTTAAAGAGAGAAGACACCAATAAGTAACCCAACATTTCCTGGTTTCTTATGGTCTGCTGCATGTGTTTGTGAGGCTGCCTGTGGATTGTACAAAAAGACCAGAAGAAAGCAGGAAATGTCTCAATAGTTTCAGGGCCAGATTTTGACTTTAGATCTTGCTCCCATTTGGGACTGTTGATATTGCTCTGAGGCATGTGCCATTTTATTGATAATGCTACCACATTGTTCCACCATCCAGGCAGCTGTGCTTGTGATTTGAAAGTTATTTCTGTTGGAGGTGGTTTTGTTTTTAGTTTTTACAATTGATGTATTATTCCATAGGAAGAAAACCTTAGCAGTTTCTGGAAAAGACTATATTTTTGACAATGAAAATGTCTATAGGCATGTTCCTCATCTGACTCTGTTAATCTTGTTAGATCACAGGTTTAACTGCTTTGCAAAGCAGTTACAGGTTTTGCCTTTAGGAAGCTGTTTCTTGGGTTTTGTGCTGTCTAAAGGAATGTTTAGACGGAGTAAATGATCTGTGATAGTGAGATATTTATTGCTTCCTAATTAAAGTAGCAAACATGTATCGCTCCCAAAGGTATTTTTTCCCTTCTTGTTTTGTTTTTTTTACCCTAGTTCTTGCTATCCAGGGGTGTCTCTCATGATAAACAAAGCAGCTATTCACCCATCATCTTCCAAAAGACCAAACAGCTGCCTACTTTCCTATCACGGAACAAGAAATCTTTTCTTTTTTTTTTCTGTAGGTCTCTGAGGTCAGAGTGACAGAGGAAAAGATTAGTTTGCTTGCACTGTAAGCTGTATGTAAGATGACAACATTGTAGTATAAAATACTGTGACTGCTTCTTATAAATATGCAATGATCTGTTGGGCTTTTGTAACAGGACTGACTTTCCATACAATAGAGCTCTCCAGCTTGACCATATTGATTTTATTCATTTTTTAAACTTAGGACTTCAGTTTTCAAATGGAGTGGTACTGAGTAGGTGGGAAAACCATGGAGCATTGTCAGTGTTTGAGTGCCTTTTTCTGTGAGTAAAACTGAAAAGAACAAACACTTGTGGTGAAAAGTTGCAAATACAATCATTCTTTGTTTAAGCAAGCTGCAAACTTTCCACCAAAATATTAATGTTAATTAAAAGCCTGTTACCCATTTAAAAGAAAAACAAGAAGAACGTTTTCTACTACTTTATGAAAGATTCGACTATGAAATATCAAGTGGATGTCCTTCCATTCTGAGCACCTCTCTATCCCTACACAGGCTCACTGTTGATCCACTGAACCATTTTATCAGTGAGAGGGTAGGTCAGGTTTCATAACCTTTTGGTGCAAGGTCCTTCTTCAGAGCACAAGGTCCCTGCTGTGGAAGAGCTTTTTAAATTATGGACAATTGATTATTGTGATGTGAGCAAATTCAAGCAAATGCATATGACAAATCACAGATGCAATCAAATACCTTCTGATTAAACAAACTTCAGAGGGGAACAGCCTTTAGTCACAACTGAGCTGAGCTCGGTATGAACCAATGACCGAAAGGTGAAAGGCTTTTAGCCCCTAAACTCCAGGCATTGATTTCTAATTCTCCTGTGAAATCAATCCCATGACATAGATATATTGGGTCACCTTATGGCTGACCCACGTCCCCTGACCTTTGTGCTCTCTATAATGTATGGAAGAATATTTAATGCAGCTTGTTTATGAAACAAGCTGTCCCCCTGCCAGCTGCTGCCTTGGGCCATGGCATGAACAGGGCATTCAGAGGAGGATGATGAAATGTTTGGGTTCTCAGTGTTACTCAATCTGCCACATAAAATGCTCTGAGCAGTGGTGGCAGAGCCCTGCAGTGAGAAATGACTGAACAGCATTTCATTGCACTGGAACTATAAGAGCACGCTGTGTTCTAGCTGTGGTTTCAGGGCTGAGCTGCATTAATGAAGTGATGACACTCACCAAAGAGTGTCAGTCCCAGGGAATGGATGGAAAAGGGCGTGGCAGGAGCTTGCAAGAAAGGACTGAGTCTCGCTCAGAGGGGCTGGAGAAACTTGACATGAAAGATGATAATTTAACTTAAAGGAAAATTTAAAAATAAACTTATAAAATATCCTTCAAGAGCCTTTCAAAACAAGTGGACAATTTAGATCTGTTTAGTCTTTACTAGGCCTCACCTTATGCTATATACAGTGTACACTAATTTTCCAGTAGATGCTGCAGAGTTAAGAATAGGTGATAAGGGCAAAAGTTTTTTTTTTCAGGTAAAAGTTATTGCTAAAGTTGCTTTGGGCAGATGTAATTTACAGAAGTGATCTGAAAATCTGAAGTCCTAATGACAAGATTTTGTGTCTGCTGTCCAACTTGGATTGAACAAATACTTCAACATATGGCTTTGTCAAGTTGCTTTGTCAAGACACTCCCAGCAAAATGATAAAATCTAAAATGTGTACTTCTGGAAAAAAACAAAGAGTAAATTTGAAAACGTGTGTGGTCTTTTAGGTGGCAACCAGGCAAAAATTGCAGTGCTGCTGCTGTGATGCTCTGTGTGCTGCCACATAGGAAAGTTTTCATTTACTAGCAAAAGTATTTTTGATGATTTCTTAATTGGCATAAAATGCATGCAAACTCTACAGCTTTTGCCACATCCGTTCTAATTTTGTTTCCTTTTGTTGTTGCTTTTATTGCAGCTACTCAAGGCTGTGTGATGTTAGACAGATGCTTTTGTGCTGACTGATATAACACAGAGGATTCTGCAGAGTCATGACTTGTCCTGATTTTATGAGTCACAATGACTTTTATCATCCTACTGACTAGGATCAGAGAGATAATAGGGAGCTTTCAATGGTTGTTAGCCACTTGTTCCCATGGATACCAGACCAATCTCCACATCAACTTTAGTTTTTAATAAATTCTTCTGAACCTTTTGAAAACTAACAAAAGTGCTCAGGTTGAAAACCAAGCAACAGGTGTTTACAGAGAATTATGTTTTAGTGCTTATGCTTTACAGAAATAAAAAAGCATTGACCATTAGTTTGTAAATTTAATTTGTTTGAGATATGTGATGGAAATAATAAATTTCATAAATGTCTCTTAATTTAATTTACAATATTACTGATCCTTTATTCCAGTTTTTTTCTTTTCAATGGTATTGTCCACCTTATGTGTAATACATTTCCTTTATTTTTACCTTGTTTCAATTCACTGAATAGACCCTTTTCATTTAAATTCCTGTTATTACACATAAAAATGTACATTATATGATTAAAATTAAAGAAAAGGTCATACTTCAGGTCATGTGTAGGGAACAGAGAGAAAATTTCCATGGGCAAGATTATCTCTTAATTGCTCAGTATAGGATGACAATAATAATAATAATAATGACAATAATATCAATAAGTATTTTCAGATAGTTTCATTAGTCTGATGAGGATTAAAATGTCTTAAGAAATACTTTGTAAAATGGACAAAAGAAAGAAGAATCTTAAGGCAGCTGTGTGAGCAGTGCCCTTTATTTAGGATGCTAATGACATCAGCACCATGAGCCCCTTGTTGAGGCCCAAGCTGTGTATCTCAGAATAGAGGAAATGGCAGTATCCCTGGAAATGCCCCATCAAGCCTGAGTACAAAAAGCTTTATGGGGAAGGACTGTGTCTCTGTTGTGTCTATAAAGTTGCAGACACTTTGTTCCTGTAATCATAAATAGTTTCAACTGCTGTGAAGTGCTGACACAGTCCAGCCATAATTTGACAAAGCTGTTTTAAATTAATAGCCCAGGAATGCTTTAGTATTTTCTCCTCTTTAAAACAGTGTCTGTAGTAGGAACTTGGTACTTAAATATGTTTAGATCTATCTAAATATAGTAGGTTAAATATACTTCATTTCTAGAGACTTAATTGCATGTTTCATTGAACTGAGTGAAGTGAAATTCAGTGGCATTGAATGACATGTCAATGAAAACTGAAAGAGAAGTGAAGCATGTACGTGCTGTGGTGCTGAATAGGGCTGGGGTTAAGCAATTGACTCAGTGCTCTTCAGTCAGAAACTGTTCACAGGTAGGTAATAAATAGGAATTGTGATCTTTTTCTAGGGGAGAAAATTAAAAATATGGCCCATATTTTTATTTTTTAAAGGTGGGGCTGTGTTTTTGCAGTCTGTTATTTGAAACAAAATACAGTTTCTGTACAAAGTGCAAATATGTTTTTTAAGGAAAACGGTAATAAAAATTTTCACTATGAAGAAAAACCAACCAAAACCCCAACACCTAAATACAGCCTTTCCTCTGGAAAGAGTCGTGTTTGAATGTTATTAATAGTGACCCACCTATCTCATTGGATTATGTGTATTGTTTATTTTATCAGGCTTCTCTGGCAATTGTGTTGGCTGTGGCAAGAAGGGTTTCTGCTACTTTACAGAATTCTCAAATCACATTAATCTTAAACTGACCACTCAGCCCAAGAAACAGAAACACTTAAAGTATTATCTGGTCAGGAATGCACAGGGAGCTCTGACCAAAGGATCTGTAATCTGCTGGAAAGGCGCAGGTAAGATAATGAAGCTGTCTTCCTCGAGCTCTGGTTTTCATCATCCAGGCTTAGCTATCACGGGGACTGGCGTCTGTGTAAAGCCTAAGAGAGACCATTTGAAAGGCTCTCTACAGCCAGGTGGCTGCTGGAGCAGCTGTAAAAGCCATTGTCTGACCTATTATGAGCCTGGCATGTCTGAAGACGTTGGTTCCTTCATTCCAAGTGCTGTAGCCCCTGAGCAATTCATGTGTGAAATTATCAGAAAGATAAAGAAAGTTCTTTTTTTTTTTTTGTACAGAGTTCAGAGGCCGGCAGTCTTCAACCAGTACCTGCTCAAGCACCTTGTTCCAATTGCCAGAAAGCTCAGGCCTCTCAGGAAGCACCTCCAGTGAGCCTCTGCCACCTGCAAACCCCAGTGCTCCAGCTGGGACCCAGCAAACAGGTACCTCTTGGGAGGAAAACACGCCGGGGTTCCACTTCCACTTAACTCCTCTGTGCTTGTGTATTTGGGTACTTGTACTTGTGTGAAAGCAAAGACAAACAAACAAGTAAGCACATTGCCTCATAAAACAAGTTGAATAGAATTGGAGATCTGTTACAAACAAAGAAAGCAATTACAGTTTGAAGGCTTCTCGCTGTCCATTTTCTCACACCAGGTTTATGTATAAAAGGTTAGCAAATAGTAAGTGGGTGTTCTGCAGCTTACTCACAGTTGAACCAAACCAGAATGTTCTAAAAAGGCCTTATTTATGAAGTGTTTTTCTAGCTGTCACTTGTCTGGTCACAGATGACAACTGTTACAGGATCCAGTGTAATTTTAGCTTTTTTTGGTCTGATCCAGTCTATTTTATGCTATGACCAGAGTCCTTTTCAAAACAGACATTATATGGGCATCAGCTCAAAAGCTTGTGAATTTTTTCTTCTGCTGAGAAAAGTGACCTTAATATTAAAAAACAAACTAATGGTCAGTATCTGTAACTTTCTTTGTATTAAAAATTCTTTTTGCGACCTTTACTTTTCCATTAACTTGACATAAATGAAAGGTGATAGATGACAGAGGCTAGAGTGAGCTCTCTGAGCTTCTTCATAATGAAAACAGCTCTTTAGTGTCTTGTGGCTATTACAGTTTTTTCCTGGGTTTTTACACAGGGGAGCTGAAGCACATCTGTGGTGGTTATATTCTGTATATTCTCTGTGTGAGATAGAAGCCTGTTAGTCATGATCTGGAATACTGATGCCCTTCCAGAAGAAATCACCAATCTCTTTATGATAACAGACTGACTTTTTTTTTTCTCAGATTTTACAAAAAAGCTACATTAATTACAAACATATTAGGCTTGAGAATGCCTCCCCCCGCCCCTTTTTTTTTTATTGCAGCATAGTTCAAAAAATCTTAGAGAAAGATTGGGATGGAGGTGAATTTTAAACATCTCTCTTCTGCCTGGTTCTCGAGTAAACTTTCTGTAAGAGCCAGGGTCATGCAAAGAAGCTACAGCTTCTGACATATGCATTTAATTGAAGAATCAGATTTTGCCCAGGCGCTTAATTGGGAGTAGGAGGTCAGAAGTGGATTGTTTCATTCAGCATTGTATTCACTCTTGAGCAGATCCCAATGGCTCTGTTAAAGTAAATGATGAAATTATTGGTTTGTTGTATCAGCTGAGGATCTTGACCCAGAAATGTTTAATGTGAACACTTTGGGGTTTTTTTCTTGTCAGCTGCAGCCGTAGATCACATCCCCTCAACAGCTGCATTCAGCTCAGCAGTTTATAATGGCAAGGAATCACCTAAACAACAGCTGATGAAAAATAACCTGTCTGCTCTGACAAGACCTTCAGTGTTAGGTATTTGTATGGATTTATTGTTTCATAACCCTAAACTCTACATGTATAACAGCAGCATCAAACAAATTAAATCATGATTGTAATTTCCTGAATGAATAGAAATTACCATTCCCTACCAAGTCCTTTCTGACCCCAATACTGTTTTCTGTATTAATTTCCAGGAAAAAAAAATCTTCAGATGTTTTCAGACACAGTTACAGTTCATAATATTAACTGGATGTTTTCCTCATATTTACAGTTCATTAATTTAATAGAGACGCAGACCAGATTCTGAATCCAGGTTCTTAAAGAATGTGTCAGTTTGCATCAATTTCACCAACAGATTTTGTGAAGGGAATTAAGAATATTTTTAAAGCGAGACTTTGGCAACAAGCTCCAGATTCAATAAACTGTGCTCACTGTAGATATTTTTAAGTAATCACTCATAGGATGATTCTTATTGCAGTTCCTATTGAACTGTTGCAGTTCACCTTGGGATGGAGAGCGAGACTTTGGCAACAAGCTCCAGATTCAATAAACTGTGCTCACTGTAGCATTATTATCATAATTTTTGTTAATTGTTTTCTGTCACAAACTGTGTCATTGGCTTGTTTAAGAAGGAAAATTAGTTTTCACTATGGCTAGAAACAAACTGTAGCTCTATTTTTTAATAAGTCTTCCCAAGTTTCCCTGCTGGTATCACAGACAAATTCTCCATCTCTGCCCATTCAGGTTCTTAATCTCTTTTTCCATGCATCAGCACATTATTGCTAATTCATTTCAGAAGGATTTATTTCACATATTAACATATATGAACGAAAGAGCACAGCATTGTCAAATAAAAAAATCCCTTGTCTTGCTCTAAGTATCTTGTGACTTTGTCCCAGTGCAGTTCCAGGAAACCAAGTGAAAGGCTGAGCAGCAAAATGGCCAAAGGCTGCCCTCGCGTGGTAAAAGTGTAAGGGACAAAGTCAGTGGAAATCCGTGTGTGAGGGTCTGCAAGAGAACAATCTTCTTCTAGATCTGAAGGCGTCGGGTTTATCTTTAATTTTAATAAATTTTTAAAAATTAAACCCATACGTTTTGTATTAAATTCTTATATTGCCTCAGTTTTATGTGGGACTAACTATCCTGCCAGGAGATACAGGCTTGTTATGACCTCAGTGTAGTCATGTCCAGAAACAGAAATAGCTCAATCCTGCAAGTGTCTAAGCAATTCCTGGAGGACTATTGACTTGCAATAATTGGAAATACTTGATGTTAGTGGAAGCTCATCATTCTAGGAGTTTGAGGGTGCACAAGGAGACTCAAGAAAATGATGAAAGAAAATTAAAGAAGTTAGTCATCAGGAGAGATGACTCCTAGAGAAACTGTGAGAAAGTTATTTTCACAGAAAAAAAAATTGAAGCTATTCATCTGTAGGAGGAAGGTGTAGAAGTAGTTTGATACGAGTTAATATGGAATAACATAAAACCGAAGATGGAATCAGCAGGAAGTGGCAAAAATCCTGTAAATGGGGAAATTGTTGAAAAGAACTCAGATGTCTATTACTATTACTCTGAAACCCTTGGGAATATTATTTGTAAGTAAGTTATATGTAACACTGTGTCATGTGTTCAGAAATAAAAGGAGCAAAATGCCTACAGTCTTGACTTCAAAATGTTAGTACATTTAAGGATTCTTAGTATGTCTCTGTACTTATACTGTATTTTTCTTAGTAGAGAGAAAGCATTGGTATAAGATAAGGAAAATCTGGATAATTAGGAGTTCTCTGCACTAGAAATTTCCAAGAAATTTGACCAGGATGCAACAAAGTAAAATAAACCACACAAAATTATTATATTCATAGACTTGACCTTTTCTACTACCATACTTGCTGAATACATTAAGTCAGTCAAAACATACTGAATTACCATGCACAAACCTGTATATGTTTTATTCTTATATTCCTCTGAAACATTTAGGCACATTAACAAATTCAGGGCCTCCAAAAAAGCGCCATAAAGGTTGGTCGCCAGAATCTCCATCATCCACTGAAACTTGGAACTTGCAGCTCAATCCACAGGCTTCAAACAGAATTAAAAATGGTAAGCTATACCCAAAGTAATGATTTTGTCTCATTATTCAGAAAATAATGGGCAGAAAGAGGCATTATTTTAAAGACACATGCAGATTCATATGAGAGGTTTCTCTGTGCTAACCTAGATGCTTTATTTCCATTGATTTGTTTTTAAAGCTCTGAGCCTAACTCTCCTTAGGTTCCAGTCACTGAACCATTAACAAATCCCAGCAGATGCCTGGGTCCATTTTTAGACACCAAAATGCCTTTGGAATATTAAAATTAGTATAATAACTTGGGTCCATAATAGCAGTACCATTCATTGTTTCAATTATTTGTCATAATATTTGTGGCGCTTGGATTATATAGTCTAGATACAGACAAGAGTGACATGCAGTAAAACAAACCCAGTTTTCCCAAAATGTTTTCTTCTAATGTACTATTTTTTATATCAAAATTACCATGAAAAAGTTATGCTTGAGCAAACATTGAATCTTGGTTTTTTATTTCTTTCTTCTTATAGCAATAAAAACTGTTTAGAATGAGTAAAACTAAATATATCACATAGAGCTCACAAATCATAACTACACATCTAATCACAACTACACAATATCACATAGGTCTCTCTATTTACGCATTCCTACCTAAAAATGTTTATTTATAAACATTTCAAAATCTTTAGATGCATGTGTGATGTCCAATGTTCCAGTGACATAATCAGTCCTCCAAGACACTTGGCATAATAGTGTGGGTTGTAGTAACAGGTCATGAGCTGTTTGATGGAGCCACAAAAAGCAGTTAATACTGATAGCAAATGTGGGTATGAGATGAAGCTGAACAACTTCTCTTTGAGGAAATCCTTACCAGACCTAACTCCAGTAATAATATGTCTGAAATCTCAGATGGAGGAAGCCTGTCATCTTTGCCAAATTCTGCTGTGGTGGGACCAGCCTCCTCTCCAATGGTGGGCTCGGGAGAACCAGTCTCAGTTCCTGACAACTTGCTGAAAATCTGTAAAGCAAAACCAGTTATTTTTAAAGGTAAATCCCCCAACCCCACAACAAGACATCTTTTTTTTTTTTTTTTTTTTTGCAAGAGATGTAAAGATATATCCCACTCCTAAACACTGTAACACTATCCATTTTAAGAGTCTGACTATTAAAACTGTTTAATGTACATATGAAAAATGACAAAATTAACGTGATGTGTACATACATTTATTTTGTAGGTCATGGAAACTTCCCATATCTCTGTGGGAACATCAATGATGTGATAGTGAGTCCTTTGTTGTACACCTGTTACAGAAATTCACAGTCTTTATCTAGAGCATATGAACAATACGGTGCATCCACAATACAGCCTATTTCTGAGGAAATGCAGCTGTTACTGACTGTCTACTACCTTGTTCAACTAGGTAAGATTGTTCTACATCCAGAGAGACTACATTGAATGTATTACATTCAAGCAAATGAGAAGGGGAATATTAGGGCAGGACAGTACTAAATATTAGTCTGTAATAATATGATACTAAACTACTTCATTCATGGTTATGGAACAAAATGAAGTGACTACATTTTGAAGGCCAGACAGATTGAGTTATATACATAAAAAGTTTATTTTCTGCATCTGGGACCTCATAAATGAAAATCGAAGGAAAAGAGCCATAATTGACTGTTCTTGCAGACAGTCTGTGGTTTAGAAGTATACTGAGACAGGCAGTGCTCAACCTCTTAAATATTTCTAATTAACTGGTACTCGGGTTCAAATTAGCGCAGCTTTATCTGAGTATCACAAGGACAGTTCAAAATGAAAAATTGCTTTTCATCTGCTAAAGGCATCAGAGTCAGACAGTAGTAAATATTAGTCTTTAATAATATGACTAAACTACTTCATTCATGGTTATGGAACAAAATGAAGTGACTACATTTTGAAGGCCAGACAGATTGAGTTATATACATAAAAAGTTTATTTTCTGCATCTGGGACCTCATAAATGAAAATCGAAGGAAAAGAGCCATAATTGACTGTTCTTGCAGACAGTCTGTGGTTTAGAAGTATACTGAGACAGGCAGTGCTCAACCTCTTAAATATTTCTAATTAACTGGTACTCGGGTTCAAATTAGGGCAGCTTTATCTGAGTATCACAAAGACAATTCAAAATGAAAAATTGCTTTTCATCTGCTAAAGGCATCAGAGTCATGCATGCAGAGAGAGTCTGAAGCATGCAAGTCTGAAGCATGGTATAAAAAAAAAAGTTTTTAACTCAATGGTTTTGTGTAATTGTTTCATAATATTTCCCTCTTATTTTTTTTTAGCTGCAGACCAGGTCCCTTTGATTGAGGATTTGGAGCAAATTTTCATGCGCTCCTGGCGGGAGTCCCACCTGTCTGAAATCCGTCAGTACCAGCAGGCTGTTCCCCAGGCCTTCCCCCAGCTGCCCAGCCCCATCACCCCGGTGACCTCAGCCCAGCTGCCCTGGCTGGCAGGGCTGGCAGCCAGCTCCTGTAACGACAGTGTCCACATCATTGAGTGCAGCTACTCCCTGGCAGAAGGGCTTTCAGAAATGTTTAAGCTGCTCATCGAAGGGAAATTAATAAAGACAAACTATGTGGTGATCATATGTGCCAGTAGAAACCGAGCCATCGACTCCTGCATTGTGATAACAGGTAATGTGCCAAGGATGTATCTCCTTGCAAACCTGAGCAATTCAGTGCTGTGAGGGGCTTGGGTGGAGTTCCAGTGAGTTGCCTCACAAAGCAGAGCTTTGGCCAAACAGTGATGGGCTTTGATGAAGCCAAGGTGACTCTGCACAGTTGGTCTCTCCCCAGCAAAACACCTTCTGCCTGCATTGCCCATTTTCTCACCAAAGCATCTCAGCCAACAAGGCTGCAAACAAGAAATAGTGGGTTACAGTACACACAGTGCATAAAGCTCTCCTGCTCTGTGCAACTGGGGTATTAATGCAGAGAACCTTTCTTTAGCTTCTAAAAAATGGTATTTCAATGTCATTCCCTTCAACAACCTGCTCACGATTAAACAAATTATCTGACTGGCCATTCAAAGATCCATTGTGATTGTAAGACAATTGGCAATTCCTTTCAATATTATATTGTCTTTTTTATCCTGTATTAGCAAATACTTTCCAAATTGGGAATAAAATACAAAAAATTGTAAACCATGAATCTATTTTACATGTGTCTGGTGAATATATGTGTTGGAGACATAAAAGACTAATCTCTGCCATTTTTGTATGTGTGGTATTTATTTAGTTGTAGAGAATTTTTATTATGACTTAGAAGAATGTTGTTAACTTTACTTTGAAGAGTTCTCAAAATTCTTTTTTTTTTTGTTTTGTCTTTTAGGAAAGTATCAGGCAAGAGTTCTGTCTGAGAGCATGCTCAGTCCTTCAGACTACCAAAAAGAAGTTAACTATCAGCTGGTCACAGGGAAGGTGGAAACTCTGGGGTCCTTCTTTAGCACACTCTGCCCAGGTACCTAACAGATTGTAAAGAGTCATGTTTCCAAATCCCTGAAACTTCTAAGTCTGGGAAAACATCTGTGCTCATTTCCTTACCAGATGGAAGACACTATTAGAAATATATGAAAAATGCAGGACAAAGTTACAAAAGCACAGTTGAATTGAAATTCCTCCTAAAAGCATCAGTGTCTAAAATACATTGGTTTCATAAAAATAGGTCAGCAAATAGCTGAGCATATTATTCTTAGCTATGCAAATCCATTCTTATATTATGTAAGTCCATGTGCACATGAATGTATAAATTCTTTTGCCCTAAGCATTTAGAGAAGAATATATCAGAGCTATTTTATGAAAGGTGGGATTTTCTCCTTCAATTTACCATACTTTAAACTTGATTGTGATGCCTGGAACAGAGAAGAAAATTGCAGAGCAACTGGATCATTTTTTTAAGTGAGCTTTCTGAGAATTACAACAGGCAGGATTATCTGGGGATAGATCAAGCTGTGTGGAAAGTTAAGCCACAACTAGAGCAAATGCAGCACATTTGTCAGGATTAATGGGATGTCACAGACTTCTTTGCCATTCACATCATGTTGGTAAATAGATCACAAGAACCCTTCTGAATGTGTCATGATACTTTGAGTGGTCACTTAAGGGAATCTCATTTTCCTTAAATCATCTTGTAGTAAAGTACTGTTTATCTTAGTATCTTCAAAGTATGGTTCTCAAAATCAGAGAACCATAGAGAGTCACAGAGAGTCATAGAGTTCTCTGCAGTTGCTGTTATTTAGCAACATTATTGTTTAGTTGTTATTGTTTAGCTGTTGTAAAGCGGAACAAGTAAATGAGCATCCTAAAAATAGTGGCCACCTATATTCACTGGACTGCCCTTCACAGGAGAGGCCCTGCCTTTCTGAGCTCACTGCAGACAGGCTGACACGTTTTTTCAACTGCTGAGAAAATACTAATGCCTGGGTCAGGCATATTGTACTCTCTGCATAGCTTTCAACTATAAGTAGGGTCCCTGCTCTATAGAAATGGGTATGTTTGCAGTACTTCAATAAAATACACCTTGCTTGCTTCAGCATTGACTCATGTTTTTCTTTTGGCTGTATTAGAAATTATTTTTCTTTCTGTCTCTCAAAAATGTTAGAGTTTTAAAAATGTTTTATCAGATGTTTCTCAACTTTCTTATAATCCTTGTTAATGAACAGTATGGATCCATGGTCTGAACATAAACTAAGCCAGTTTCATGTCATTGTTGCTGGTTTGCATCAAGGCCTTAAGGTTAGTTTTCTACCTCCTAGCTGGTCTGCAGAGATGGTTTGTCATTCAGTCTTCATTTTACTGGTGATATTCTGAAAAAAGAGATGCAATAGAAAATAACCAGAGGGTTCTTGTATAAAACAGCCAATTAGCCAAGGGCAGGATAGCTAGAAAATGTATATAAAGTCTTTCAGATCTACAAGACAACATGAATATGAAATGCAGCTCTTGTTAACATGGATGTTTATTCCACTGTCCCTTCCATTTGACAGAGGGTGACATTGATCTTTTGCTGGAAAAATTTTATCAAGAAAACCAAGGGCACATCTCTTCATCACTTTCTGCTTCAGTGAATAAACCAACAGCAGTGAATGGAGCTGGAACAGCTGTGTGTACAAGTAAGTAAGGAGGATGTTCTAGAGAGGTAGCAGAGTGGGGCACTGGACACCAAGTTCTGGGTGCACAGTTAGATCACTCTGGGCAGAGCCCAGAAGGCAAAGGTCCTGAGGCAAACAGCAGCTCATGTCTTGCAATATTCAGATTTACACTGATGGATATTCTGCTTCATTCCACTGGGTATCACAGTGTTTGAAGCTGTAAGTTGTACTTCTGTGGTAGCAGAATGCTATTGTTCAAATTCACTTTCAGGTCTCAGACACTTACAGGACCAAAGAGTCCAAATGCAGAAATATGTCTTTGCATATTCTCTATGGATTTTCATAAATTAAGTCCTGTAAATAAGCAAAATACCTTAAAGAATAAATCAGTTATTCTTTGCCAGACTCTTAACATTTTACATTAGATTAGACTTTGGGCATATATCTAAACAGAATTTTTCCTTTTTCCAGGTTATGAGATTGAACGACATCAAATTCGTCCCTTCCAGCTAGCAGTGGCTCAGAAATTGCTGTCTCATATTTGCTCAATTGCTGACTCCAGCACTCAAAATCTTGATTTGGGTTCCTTCGAGAAAATTGATTTCTTGATTTGTGTTCCACCCTCCGAAGTGACTTACCAACAGACTTTGTTTCATCTCTGGCACTCAGGTGCTCATTAGTTAGCTTTACTTTGGATTTACACAACATTCCTAGATGTATTCCTATCCAGAAATACTGACACTTGTTCTGTACTTTTAGGTATATTATTAGAACTTGGATTAGAAAAGGAACATCTTACAAAGCAGAGAGTGGAACAGTATGTTATGAAACTAGATGCAGAAGCCCAAATTAAATTCAAAATCTTTTTGCAAAACTCTATGCAGAATCCACACACACTGTTTGTCCTAATCCATGATCATGCACACTGGGATCTAATGAGGTAAGAAAACTAGTAGCATGTTTTTGGGGAAATTATTATCTGCATTATCTCTCAAGATTAGTTTTCAGATTTATCCCTTTCTTCATCTTTGTTTGCATCTTTCTGCTAACGCTGCCTCCCCATGCATTGAATAAACATGTTTTAAGGTCCTTCATGATTTATTCTTACCCTGCTTATTATATTGTGCCTTAGTGGAACATTTCAGCTTTTTTTGCTCCCCATTCCTATCTACTTTCAGCCACAGCTATTGTTTTCTTTGGCTGTTTGTCCTTTGTTCAGGAGAAAGCTTCCTGTGAAAGTACACAGAGCTCCTCATTCTCTGTTATTTTCTGGGCTGTAAAATTTGCAAAACCTCAACCCAGTGAGTAGAAAACTAGTGAGCCAACACTGCTGCCTATTTTTTTTAACTGATTGGGAGTTTTCCACTTCTTTTCTATCCAAAATCACTGATTTGCAAGAATTGAAAGCTTCTGTGGATTCTTAGTGATGCCAGGTAGAGTTCTGAAGGGAAGAGAGAGGTTCCTGTCCAGTGTTTACCAAGTTCCCCATCAGCTCACTCACATAACTCATTGCTTCCCTCTTCCCTCAGAGCTCTGTTTCCATAGATTCTCAACAACCTGCCTGCTCAGATGTGGGGCTGCTTTTGCTGCCTCGTTCTGAGGCTCTTGGGGAGGTTGGAAAACATTCTGGACTCCAGAAACACCAGCATATTCCAACTTTGGGATTGTGGTAGTGTTTCTGAAACCAAAAACTGGACTCTTGCTTGTGAATGAAGTGGGGTCTTGTCTTTTACTCTGGTTAACAATGATGACTTTCAATGAAACTGCATCTGAGGGTTTCCTGTTCAACTCCCCTGTCTTAGGAACTTACCTGGACTTTTACAGCTGTCCCAGCCTTTGAGGCATTTATTAATTTATTCCTTGAGTGGTAGGGAAGTACCTCTGTTGCTGCTTAACTCTGTTTTCTGTTTAATAAAGATACATAGGCCAAAAATTAAATAGCATGAGTTTGGACTGAAATTTTGCACAAGAGCAAGGAATTGACTGTCAATATTATGTGATACTGTGATTTGCTCTAAGAATAACTACTCTTCGTTTTTTCTCTTTTTCTATCATACTGACTTATCACGTGTATTTTTCTATCTTGATTTTTGTAGGTTAGAATTATCCTTTGTTAAGGGCAGCACTAACAATCTGACCAAAGTTACTACAGGACAATGTGTCTATTGGTAACTTCCACATAAGCTTCCTTTCCTACTTTATCTCTCATATTCTGGTAGCTGCAGGGATTGGTAATTTGCTAGTGAGAGAGTTTATCAGACTCAGAGAAATTTTTACTTGGAGTGAAATAATTTGTATTTTCTTCTGTGCAACAATTTTAGGGTGAAAGAAGAGTCCTAAATTCCTTTAACTTTGATTTCACATCCAGGTTTAAGCTATTCCACTGGCACAAATATTCCCTTTTGCTGATCACTTTGGAGAGTTTTGGGTTTGTTTTTTTTGCAGTGCTATGCATAGTCTTTATCCTCAAACAGAGCTGCCATCAGGACTTGTTGATAGACTATTGAACTGCAGGGAGGTGAAAGAGGCACCAAATATTGTGACCCTCCATGTGACTTCCTTCCCCTATGCGCTGCAGACACAGCACACTCATATCAGCCCTTACAATGAGATCCACTGGCCTTCTTCATACAGCAATGTAAGATGCATGCTTTGAGGTGCTTTTCTGAGCTTTTCATAAGTTATTTTCCATTTATGTACTTGATAAAACAGTGAAGTCCCCATGATTTTTGTAAACAAGAGTGAAGTTTGACTGACATCCTGTTCAGTCTGTGGCAAGCTCACTTTTCCTTTTCTTATCCTTTCTAGCTTTCTTTTTCTTTATTCCTTTTATATTTTCCACAAACCTTAGTAGCTCTGCTAAATATTTTTGAGCTACGTAAATGGAAATCATCTTCAGTTCTGTCTCTAGTGCATTACTGCATAGATATATGTACGTACATGGATTTTTTTTCATATATGTGTATATTTATTCCATATAGCTGGTCTATCTGTGTGTATGGATATGTGGGGAGAGAAAAAGAAATTTTCCACTTTTTTACTGCATAAATATATGCACATAAATGGATTTTTTTCATATATGTGCATATTTATTCCATATAGCTGGTCTATCTGTGTGTATGGATATGTGGGGAGAGAAAAAGAAATGAGGAAGAATTGGTCAAATTTTCATTCTCTCCAAATAACTAATTCTGTTTCTTTCTCTTCTTGTTTTAATATGTTTGAATAGATGTATGCTTATTAGAGAATGTGATTGTAAGTATATCAAGATACCAATGGTTATTCCCTTGGAAATTAATTATTAATTACTTTATCCTTATATTTTTTATTGCTTCATTTGGTCTAGGGTGTAGATTTATACCATGAAAACAAGAAATACTTTGGACTGTCAGAATTCATTGAGTCCACCCTCTCTGGACATAGTATTCCACTGCTTCGGTATGACAGCTCCTTTGAAGCAATGGTCATGGCTTTGGGAAAGAGGTATGGAGCCCTCCTTTGTTTCACATGGAAAACTTAGGAAGTCTTTTTTAGGTCCTTGAGTTATTAGCTAGAAGACCATTTATTTATTTATTTATTTATTTTACTTCTCGTTGTCTTACACATCATTTAGATATGCAAGGCATTTCACCAGTTCTTACTTTCTCCTAGGTATTTATTATATACTGGGCCTGCAGTGCCATCACTGGAAGCTGTGTCCTACTATTAGCATGCACATTGCTTAGCCCAATTTACAATGTGTTCGTGTTGTGACCTGTAACTCCTCCATATTATAATAATCTAACATTGTATCATCATGCAATTTTAAATGTGTTATTACTTTTGTCCAATATTATAATTTGCTGACCCTGGCTGATTTTGATATTAGGTATACTGCACTTGGAACACAAAGAGTAGTTAGATACATCACTGTGGTAGGTACACATAAATCAGAAATAAAAACTTCACAGCAAGCCAGAGTCACTTTTCTGACCAAGCCATAGCAAGCACTCTTTTTACTGTGCACCTGGGTTTCATTTCTGTGAAAATCAAAACACAGGAAGCTATTGGATAGCCATGGATCACCTTTCCAAAAACTGGGGATTGAGACAGGGTGTAGCTGGCCCTGGGAAGTTGGAGTGCTCATTGGTTGCTGCCTACATACATATTCAGTCTTCTTGAACACAAGAGTAAGTTGGTCCAGGGCTACAGTAAGAAAACAAGAGAAACACCCAATCTCTCTCTGCCCCTTAAGAATGGCACACAATGAAGAATAATATTCTTACTGAATGCTTCAGCTAATATTCTGTGATAAATTTTGTAACAGCAGTAGGGTGTGGATAAACTAAAGTGATGCAACCTTACTGGACTACTTGTTTAGTAAACCTTTATGGAGAGAAATGAAGGGACAACATCAGTTCTGATTGTGAAATGATGCCTTGCGAATACTGTACAACTGCAATTGATGAGATTTTGTTGTATAGTAGATACGAAGGATTTGTTACAGGAGGAAATCCTTAGTTTGCTATATTTTTATATTTTAAAAATAGCTTTTTCACATCATCCTTCAATACTCTTTACTTCACCATTTATTTCAGGTTCCCCAGGTTACACAGTGCAGTGATAAGGACTTTTGTCCTCATCCAGCACTACTCTGCAGCAATGATGGCAGTGTGTGGTCTTTCTCAGATGAAGAATTACACCTCAGTTGAAACTCTGGAAATCACCCAAAATCTAATAAACTCTTCAAGGCAATGTCCTAGTGGCCATGGCCTCATGGTGGTGTTGAGAATTCCATGTATCCCCCTGGCTGCAGTGGCATATGAACGTCTGTATAACGTAAGGGAAAGACTAGCCCTTGAAGATAACTTTGAAATAATCCTGGGAAATCCTAATTCGGGCATCACAATCGGGAAGCACTTTGTGGAACAATTGAAGGTAAATTGCAGAATGGCATGTGCTGGGAAGCTTCATTAGATGGGTGTCACTGATTATAGTTATAGCCATGAGCTGAAGTGTGGAGTCTTAAAGTAAAAACAAAAGCTGCCATGAGGAGCATGACTTTTACCTTTTACACATACTGTCTGTGACACCTTTCCTGTCCTGCCTGTGGTTAATGCTCATTGAAGTATTAACTGATACAGTTAGCACTTGACGTCCAGTAGCAATCCTCAGAAACAGTTGAAATGCTTTTATCTAAAGGAATTATGAGAAATACATTAAGAAGCCAAATAAAATTTCAGTTTTAGCTAAATTTTCTCACAAAAACTTCACAGGACAAAAAGAAGATTTTAACCAGTGACTAGTTGATAGTTAAATTATTCTTGTCACCAGCAGGGGACAGGAAGACACATTTGATTTGCTTGATCAGTGATGGTAGTTACGGATCCTAGAGCACTCCGGTGTTCACAGTTTGGGATTTTATGCTTTCTGAAGCATAAATCATGTTTTGGTTTATGGATTAATTTATATCCTTTAAGTCCAGAACCATGGGTCATCTGTTTAAAAAAAAAGCATCCTTTCCTCTTCATAAAATTACCATCTTCTGATCACCAAAGCAAAAATGTATTTCCATTCAAGAATGTTGTAATATATATATATATATATATATATAATACTGTTTACTCTGTTTGATCCAATACATGTTAGATGAAGTAATTTGAGATCCAGAGCCTAGTGCTGATCTCATTCTGCTATTAATTAGGCATCACTGACTCTGAAAAATCAGTATTAGTTCTGAGTCACATCCTGATTGTGTTCTCTGACATGTGTAGAGGGGAACATGAACAGATGTCAGAGGCCAAGTTGTTGTACTGTTGCTCATACCATAGATACTCCTTATCTGTAGGTCAGTCTCACAGCAGAAAGGACTGACTGGTGAATAAAGCAATGTAGCCTGAGGCTGAACAGTCAAACAATATATGGACTTGTCAGATTTCTCATAAAGTTACCAGGAAAACCGATAGCTTTAGGGGGGAATGGGAGACTCCAGAGGGTTGTGAATAGGGACAGTGGTGTGTTTTGAACACTTCCAACTTTCTTCTGTTCCTCTAAGGTGAAAAAGTCTCATTTCTAGCTTATTTTCTTCCTTGGACTCAGACCTCCATATATTATCTGCCTCAAGAAGCCTCTGTATTCTCTTCTCTCCCTGAAAACTCCTGCTCAGCTTTACTCTCCATTGTGCCATATTTGCCATATGCCCTGGTCTCAGTGCTATCTATGCAGCTTGGAAGCTGGGAGGCTTTTCAGGCTGGAACATACTGTCCCAATGTGCTCAGACTAACAGCAGGCAGATTGCTGCCTGTAATGCTCTAGAAACTGTGAGAGCTGTCTGTGTAGAATTTGGCTCTGCTGTGTGCTTTCTCTTCCACTGTACAAGTGGATTATTATAATGGATGATAAAGCATGCATTTCTGTCTTATGATTTGATATAGATGTATCTCAAATATATATATATATAAACTATTATATAGTTATAGATAGGTCCAACATATAGATATGTCCAACAGGGTTTCTCTACCTTGTACAGATCTGGCAGAAAATTGAGGATGTAGATTGGAGGCCACAGACCTATTTGGAATTGGAAGGTTTGCCTTGCATATTGATATTTAGTGGGATGGATCCACAAGGGGAGTCTTTGCCACGGTAAGAAGATCCACTCTTTTCTCAGTGGCAGTGTGTTATCCATTGCTTATCAAGCAGCTAAAGATTAACTGTGTGATTACTTGTGTGAGAGGACAGCAGATTTCAGTGTCAAGGTGTTTCTTTGCCATTTTGGGGTCAGTTTTTATATCATAAATACAAACTCCATATTATTGATAATAAACTTCTGTTAATAGAAAGATGTAAATAGCTCCAAAATATTATGAGGCTTATCAGTTTAGAGGAGAGAATAGGCATGTTAAAAAAAAAAAAGAAGTATAGCTGCTGAGGTTTCTTTAGGGTAGCTGAGAGATGTGCTAATGATGGTTGTATGTGTGTCCCAGGATGTGGAGTGCCTTCTGGAATGGCAGCTGGAAGAGAGACAGGATGCCCTGGGGCACTAAATGCTTTTGTATGTTCAACTGAATCTTTGTGTGTTAGATTTAGAATCCAAATGGTTATTCTTTTTTTGATGAAGATGCTAATGTTCAGTGCAGTAAATTAAGGTGTGTAATTGGATTAAGAGGAAGAAAAGTGTATGCACCACAGTGGTAAGCTTATTAAGCACAAAATACTGTGTTCTATCTCATCCCTTGTTGAGGCAAATAATGAAAAAAATTCTCTTTGGCTGTGTTTCTCAAAGAGATAAGGCAGAAGATTACAGTGAGTTTTGATACCAGTTCCTCCTGTTTCTCTCCAGATCACTGAGATACTGTGACCTACGTTTAATAAATTCGTCTTCTTTGGTACGGACAAGCCTGGAGCAAGAGCTTGGTTTGGCAGCATACTTTGTGAGCTCAGAACTTCACACAGAGAAAGCAGTTGTGAATGATGTGTTAGAAAGTGACCCAGAGAAACTAAGCAGTACTGACAACGAAGATGAAGAAATAGTGACAGAAGGTATTTTTTATTACTGGTAATAAAACAAGCTGTAAAATGATTGAAAATTACTAGCAAAAGCAAAAATGCATGGGTGAGGTTTTCTCATTTTAGTCTTACTGAGTGAGCTCTGCTCATTAGTTTTGTTTGATCTCATCGAACCTCTGTTTCCTCACCCTTCTGCTGCTGATGCATTTTAACTTTTTGCAGTTCTGTATCTGTTCTCTCTCTCTGTTTTCTGGCTCCCTCCTGTGTTCCTCCTTTGCCCTGTATGTTCTGACAGCCAAAAAGTGGAGCTCAAATAGGATCACCAGGTGACATTCACTGTTCAGAGGGCCCTCTGCTCTCTCTCTCGCCAGCAGGGAAGGGTGAGATTTGCTGTCAGAGAAGCAGCAGCAGTGACTGCATCCCTACCCTCAGTGCCAGCTCCAACTAAACTGTTCCTGGTGCTACTGAACCTATACTTAAAATTATGTCAGTGGTAAAGATTCCTTTCAAGGAAACAGCTGAGCAGTCCCTAGCTTGTAAGGTGTAAAATAGTATGGATTGAAAATATATCTCAACATAGAAACTTCTGAGTTCTCCTTGAAAATGCCCATGAATTCAAATTAACAGTGTAACAGAGTTAGTGAATTCATTATTTCTTTAGAAACCAATTGAGAACATACAAATGTGTAAAAAGCAACAATAAGTTACCCAGGAACAATTACTTTCTAGTTTGTTTTTTTTTTTTTTAGTTATAATTGATGGACATTATCAGCTATTTATTAGTTATTTACACTTTACTATCCATTGTGTCTGTGGAAAACAAAGGATTTTTATACCTGTAAAGTATTTAAATCTCAAACAACTTGCCTTCATTTCCTTTTCTATAGTGTGAGGAGGAGGAAACCCAGTTACCTTCCAAGTTCACCTAGGAAGTTTCTTACTCACTGAAAATGACAGCAGAACAATCTGAACAAAAATACTTTCTTTAATCCGATATGGACTCTTCATAGAGGAATGAAATACCTGAGGTCATACTCAAACTGTGTTCAATAGATGCCTGCTTCAGATGTGATGGGTGCTCCTTGCGATGAGTAGTTCTGTCCATTTAGTTGAAGTATGCTGAGCTTGTATGAGACCTGAGTCAAATGGGCTCCTGTGATGTCTAAGGCTGCTCTCCTAGTCCATGAAGTATGGTATGATCATCCAGAGTCCAATTCAGAACATGTGAGATAGGCTTACAGTCCAAGTTTGCTGATGGCAGTGCTTATGTCTCAATTTATCACATTAAAACTGTACAGAAACAAGCATTTTAACTTAGGAGCCTGAGCTAGGAATCTCAAGTGAATGGCGTTGATGGCCACCCACCTTTTGAGGATTTTCATCACCAAAAGCTGAGATATAATCTGGCCATGTAGCTGTGTGGGGTAGGAGGTAATTTCAAAACATACTGACAAAATAGAGCTTGTTGCCTGCTGCTTTCCTTGACACTGGATTAGTGGGGAATGTAAGACATGGGCTGGAAGAGAAATCATGGTTGAGACAGGCCTAGATATTACCAGATCCTGGTTGCAGCCCTGGTTTTTGTGAAGCTATTGCAGCTCAGCATAGGTAAATTAGACTGTAGGCTGATCCAATATTCTGTGGTGGGAGCAGATACTCTCCATACTGGAAACAGTGTCAGGATGAGGACAAACCCCACACAAGCCCTTCTCTACTTTTCCTTACTTTTACAATATAGCTGTGACTTACAGGCTTACCTAAATTATATTTTGATTTTGTTTTCCCTTATTATCATTCATGAAACAGGTTCTGCTTCAGAAAAGAGAAGTCCTATGAAACGAGAAAGATCACGTTCCCATGACTCTGCCTCTTCATCTCTCTCTTCAAAAGCTTCCAGTAAGACCATAAGATCATCTCTGTTAATTTAAGATAAGGACATAAAAAAGACCTTAGCTTATTTGATAAATAATAAAAGGCACAAGTCACTAAGGTTTTGATACATCCTGTTTTAATGGGATCACTTAAGATGATTGGAAAACATAGGGATTAGACTTCTGAAATATAGAAAATAGGATCTTTTCTTGCTTGAAAAATTATCAAAATTAACATGGGGTGCCCATGTGGTCTGCCCATGGCTCTGTGCCCTCAGTACATCTGTGGTTAAAGAACTATTTTTCTTACTTTTTTTTCTGTGCCCCTGGATACTGGTATTTTGAGGGATGTCACACTGGTGTTACTTGCAACCATTCACAGTGCTGGTGACACTTTTGTATTTGTTGCTAATGGCTATTACTGAGTACTTTATAGACAGGGCATAACTTACTGTTTCTTGAAATCAGGAGAACTACTGACTTTTGTTTGTTCAAAATATGGGGGTTTTTTGAGAACCAGGATGGTTGTTTTCACCATGGGAGGAAATCTGATTTAACCTATGTTCAGCCTTAGGCAGATATTTCTAATACCTTGTGTAGACTGATTCCACAAGCAGTTCTCTGTCTACTTTGAAGACTGTGAGATATTTGCATGTCCTCTTACATTAAGTGTTAAAGTTGCTCAGAACCATTTAACATGTGTTAAACTTTCAAGAAATCTTAATAGTTAAGATATATAGGGTAAAAATATATAGCTTTCAGAAAATCTGCAATTATCAGTGGGGTGTATCTACATCACATATTCCCAGCCAACATTCATGAATTCAGTATGCTCTCTGAGCTGACCCAAAGCTGTGTGAATGCACTAATGCATTAGGTAGCGCCAGGGACTTAAGGGCTGCCAGGTTTTGTTAGATCAGCCTAGGTGCTGCAATGACACAGGCATGGGTGTCAGAGCAGAGCTGACTCAGAGGACTGTTTTTAGATGTCAGTCTGAGTAGACATTTCTGTAGTGTGGTGGGGTAATAGCCTGGAAATACTTATTTCCTTCAATTCATTTAAACGATGGTTTCAGTAGTTTTGTATTTCTCTTGAGTGATTAAAGTATCTGGTGAGCACCTAAAGCAAGGAATGTTTGAGGGAAATAGAGGACAGAGCAATCACTGACATCTTTCCTATGCACTTCAGGACTTTAAAAGCCACTGTCTGCATTGAAACAAATACTACAAACTAGTCCCATTATGGCTTCCTGTATGACGAAGGTCAAAGCAAGAAGAGGAGCAAGATTGCAATGTTAGCTGGACAATGTATCAAGAGGATTATTTGTTGTGCTTTGTTTAACTGTGGCAGAGATAGTTGCACTGTGTTGAAATACAAATTTTCTTTTAATTACAGCATTCTGCACTGAGTCATCCCCTCCCCAAGTCCTAAGTAACAGCACTGAAGAAACGACAAATAACTATGAAAGGCAGAAGCAGAAAGTAGACAAGGGGGCACAAACAACAGTCAGCAAACACTTGCCACCAGTGACTGAACAGCTGGATATGAAACAAAACATAAGAAGCACCCAAGTCTCCATCACCTCATCATCCTCCCCACCTTTCTCCTCCTCTTCTTCCTCCTCTGCACCTGCTCATAACTCCTTCATCCTACAGACGTCTCAATGCTCCATGACCAAAGCATCAAAACAGCCTCCCATAGTTTTCCTGCCCAAACTGGTTTATGACATTATTACTTCTACAGACAGCAGTGGACTTCCCAAATCTTCCTCCCTCTTGCCTTACCATTCTGTTATGTGGGCAAGTTCTTTTCGTCCTCTTATGAGCAAGATGATGACGTGCACGGAGCAGTCTCTGTACTACCGCCAGTGGACGGTTCCCAAGCCAATCCATATGGACTACAACAACAGAAGTGAGGGCAGAATGGACACCTTTCACCCAAGGAGACTGCTGCTGAGTGGGCCACCACAGGTGTGTAAAAAGAACAAGGTATTATCATTGATTTATTTTGTTTATCATAATCTCAGAAAAAAAATTAGTTATTATTTTTCATACTTGAAGGGATGGTGTTTTTTTGTAGAGAGTAAATTACTTATATTTTATTTCCTAATCCCTTCTAATAAAAAAAAAAATCTTCCTTTCTTTACTGTTAGCCTGAGTTCCAATAAAGAGAAGCTGCAGCAATATTCACTTTTCAGTCTCTCTCCATTAAAATGTTTTAAAGACAGTTTGCTCAAGAGATAGATTTCATGTGGAATTTCAGTTTGGTAAAGTTGAATATGCATTTACATTTTAAATAAAGATCAAAGATCTTGACAAAGCCACTTTCTTATGATCAATGTGAAAGCAGCTGGGAGTTTGTAATTAAATTATTTTGTTTCCTTTGCACAGCAGACAGAAATAGAAGCTGTTGTAAATAATACATGCAAGAAGGCCAGTTCAAAGTAGCAGAGCCATATTTAAGAGATGAGTAGCGGACACAGGAGTTTTTTACATTACTTTGAAAATATATATGGAAATGGATCTAGTTCTAAGAAGTTAATTCTTGTGTAAATTCTCTAGGAATGTTTAGCACTTATCTCTGAGCAAGGTATCTCCTAGTTAAGTGCACATGTAAAGGTAGTATTGTTGTGCCACATGTTTTACTGCAGTATGAAGCAACAAGATGTGCAGAGGCACTGTGCCTGCTGAGAGCAGATACATTTCCTGTGAACCTCAGAAGTCAAACGGGATAAATGCAAACCAAGACAAAGGTGTTTCCAGTTACTGTAACATCAACCCAAAGAATTAATCCAAAGATAGTAACTGAATTAGTTCGCCACATGAGCCACTCTTCTATGCCCATCCAGGGCAAAAAGCAACTGCATATTGCTATTATTGGTTTCCATTGTATACCTAATATACAGGGCAGAAGGAGTATAAATGAACTCTTCATATTGGGAATTCCCACAGATGCTACTCTGAGTCACAAAGGATTCCAGAAAATATTCTGACAGTTTTTCACTGTCCATTCCTTTGTTATAAATAATTTGTGTTTGCCAAATATTGAGGTATTATGTGAACAAGAAACTGAATTTCATACTGAGCTGCAGCATAAAAATGAGTACAATCGAGAGAGAGATGTTCATTTTCATCCCCAAAAAAACCCCCAAAATGACAGGCTGTAACAAAAGGACAGGCTCTAACTTCTGTTAGAATTTTATATTGCATTCACATCAAACCCCATAAAAATATGATTCTGAAAGCCATCCTAAACACTCACATTAGCCAATAAGAAATTTTTCTTTGGTATTTGAGTCCCAAATGTAAATTGTGGATCTCAGAAGAGTCATTCAGAGACTTCTGACAGCATACTACACACAGTGAGAAGGTTTTGATGGCTCACACACTTGATATTTGCAATTTAACTAACTATGATCAAACAGGAAGCTTGTTTATTTGTCAGGTCACTTTTCACTATCAAACCTCTCTAGTTTTTTTCCAAGTATGGAATAGGACTCCTGTTCACCCTCTGTACAGCTGCAAATTTCAGCCTTGGTAACAATTCTTTTACTTGAAACTGCGTCTCTTTTTCAGCTGTCTTCACAATGCTGGTTATTTCCTAGTGTTGTATCAGGTCCTACAGTTGGATTAGTTCCTAAAGGATGTTTTTTATATCTTTATTCATTTTATATTCCTCAGTTCTTTCTGAAGAATATACCTGTTTCACACAGAACAAATTCATGCTCATCAAAGCAGGAGTATCATATCTTCTTCCTAAATACAAAAATGTAGGGTTATATATTAATTTAATAGAAATTTCCATTTATTATTCCATGGAAATATTTTAATTTATTTCTATCTTCATGGAAAAAACCAGCAACTTTTCTACCTGTACTATTTGAACCTCCCAAAGTACTTAAAGTGCCCGTAAACAAAATAAACAGCTTTAAAAGTATGTGGGTTAATTTAAGGTATAACAATCCAGTGTTTATAGAAGGGAATAGTAGCAATAAAGTATGCAGAAATTAGAATTACTCTTCTCTTTTGAGAAGAAATTATCTTCCTTTCTGAAGTAGGTTTTATTCATTATTTTTTATAATATTAACATTTCACTTGGACTTAATACTTACTGCATCAAAAGGCATAGGCAGAAATAAAAACAATTGTTAGACAGCTCATATCTAAATGTTGGTAACATCTCAGCCAAAGTATAAGAGTGCCAGAGTAATATTTTCCCAAAAATTAGTATTACTTGTTTTCTTTATCAGGCAGCAATTCCTTTACTAAAATTTAAATCAAGAAGCAATTTTCTGGTTAAAACAAAAAATACTAAATCAACAGAGCAAGAAAGCTAGGTGCATTAGAGTATCAAAATGACAACTTTCACTGTCAGGGAAATTAGTAACAAAATATGCTCACCCTTCTCTAATGGAGAGATTTTACCCTTTGTACTGGTCAAAATATTTTTCTGGAAGACTTGATTCATTTTACAAGGACAGTTATGTACATTAGAAGGAAATAAATGTCTTATTTTTACAGTAGGCTTTAGGAAATATAGTAAAAACTTGATAGGTATGTAATAATTTATCTGTAATTAGCTCACATGATCCAAATGAACCCATTGGTTAGTGAGTATAATTCAATATGCATCACCATGTGCAATATGTAATATTGTATCTACGGCTCGATGTCTATTCCCTGGTGCACCATGCAAGTGCCTATACAGAATTCTAAATTCTCTCAAGTATTTTTTCTTCAGAGCATTCATCTTAAAGTTCCCCAAACTGCAAATCAAGTTGTTGTATGTTTGGGTTTTTATCTGGATTTTACAATTTAGAACTGGCATTTTCCTGAAGCGTGGAAGCTGCTGGTGAGCGCAGCTCAGTCCTGTGGCACCACACCCAGTGAATGGAGCAAGTATGTCTTAAAACACTTCCTGAAGAAGAAAACTGCTGCCCATATTATTACTCTACCTTTATTAAAATCTCATTACAGTGGGTGTATATACCATTCACCTTATGTAAGAAAAATATTAGGGAAATATTTAATATATCTATTATTAGCTGTGTTTTAGAAGAATGTAGCATGTGGAAACACGGAGAAGAGCCATCAACATTTGACCAACAGTCTGTGGATCATCAGCATGTTTTCTGCAAATCATCATTGATTCACAGGCCACAGTTTGAAAACCCTTGTCATGGTATGTGAAGAACTGTCTTACCTGGAAATTAGAATAGAAAAGCCTCATGGAATTATTTCCCCTTTCGCCATATTTCTCCAAATGTGAGGCTTGAAATCAGATGATGCTTTATACCATCATGCAAGAATAATAAAGTACTTCTAATGGTCCTGGTGTCCAGCATCTGGAACAAGTTAAAAAAGGAAGCTCATTGCTGTTACAGCTTCTACAACAGCACTTCTGAATGTCATTCCATGGTTGCATGGAGGGACACATGCAGTTTATCTCACTGGAATGCTCTCTCTCAGATTCTTAGTTGGTTTGCACCCTACCCTTGATATCTATGGCAAGCAGAGTTCAGTGGTCAAAATATTTGGAGAGCTTTCCCCTTCTCTTTGGTAATATATGCCTTTGATACAAAAACTAGACCTTCATATATATGTCAGATTTTCTTCAGGAAAGAATTTGAGTTCATATTGCTTCCTCTTGCAACAGCTACACTCTCCATGAATGAAGGGCTGCAGAGTAAGCATATTCTTAGTATTTTAAGGGTTAAATCATACCTGACACTAAGGATGAAAATAGAAACGAAACCCCTAAATCTCATCAGGCCTCAGATTCCCTAGTTATCATCAGTTTTCACAAGATTTGAGATTTTCACTTGGTCTTCTGAGATTTTCTTCTTCCACATCTGATTCTTCAGACTTCTGTCTTCCAAAGTCAGGTAGACAGGAAAAAATTAAAGTAATACTTCCATTATTTGGGAATATTGCCCCCCAAGTGCTGTATCTTACAAAGCACTGAGCACTGCCACATGTTTGAGGAGCTCTTTTTCTGGAAAGTAGAGCTATTTGTCATAGTGGCCCCTCTCACCTACATTTTGTTTCAGAAATTGTAAAAATACAGCCCAGTTCTAAGTTCCTTCAGTCTTTTAATCTCTTTGCAACTTTGGTATCCAGAGCAAAGACAGGATATAGGGAAAAGAACCTTGCTCAGAGTACTTCCTTACCAGTTGTTGTCATTGTTGATATATCATGCTTAGCCCAGAGCCACTAGTTAGGATCAGCACAGCATTGTGCTTGACTTCCCTAAAGCCATGTAAAGCTGCAGACCAATCAGGAATCCACTGTAAAAATTCTTTTCAGATCTCCTATTTGTTGCAATTAAGAGATAGAGAATGGGCAGGATCCCATTATGCAGAGGATTATGCTTCAGAGGTGTGTGTACCCTGCTTGCAGGATCTCTTTGTAACTACTTACAGTTCACAAACTCTTGGAAAAAGGGGTAGTGACAGATGGGGCAAAGGCTCTTTAGAGAGATGTAGAAGTTGTGGTTTTTGATAGTTATTCAGTATTTTCAAACAAAGAAAGAGTCTCTGTGCTATTCCATTTGCCTGGAGATGGCACACATATAAACAGTACCATTAATTTTAGAGGTGCATTTAGCTGTCTTGGTATGTTACATATTCACTTGTTCAAGATTCTTACCTTCTGGAGTAAATGCTGGTTGTAAATGAAATGTCATTCATTTCTCATTTTCTTTTTGAAATCTTCTTCTCAAAATGACCTGAAAAAAGTGTTCTCTCTTTTTTTCACCAGTTCATTGAGCAGCAAATGCAGGCAAATGTGCTAGTGAATGGAGTCCAAATACAAATGCTGCATGTGCTGAGCCCAGTCTCTGGCAGGGAAACATTCTAATAACATGGAGATATTCCTGAAAGTTCCCAACAACTTTTTACATACAGCATTGTTCATATCTAGCAGTTCATAAAACCCACAGTACTGAATTGGAAACTTTTAATGTGACAGACAATGAGATTGGGTAAGATCTGATGCATGCAATGGCCTAAGTGCATGCATTACAGTTTGGTGGTGTAGCACTTGTCATCCTGTGTTTTCCAGCATTTTTGACTTATGACCCTACAGTTTTTGTGTACACTTTAGCCTGGTGACTGATGCTTTTCATCTCAGCAGTAGTCTTGTCACTCTCACACAAATTGTGAAAAGCCATTGGTAAAGACTGGACCCCCAAGGAAAGAAAAATACATGAGTTTGATAGAATAAAATTTTAATGCACATCAGAAGAAAAAGTAAGGCTTTCAGCATGTTGTTCTGTTGACAATTCTAAGTATATACTTCAAACAGATTAAGAATTGATTTTTATATAGATATCTAATATCAAGGAGACAGGTGTGCTTTTGATAAATGATCTCTTTGAAATTAGGAAACTGATAATCTGTTAGGCTACCCTGTGTTTAATGAAAGGATGATCAGAGGCACTTTTAAAGAGTATGTTCATAAGAGAATAAAAATGTAATCTCAGATGTGAGGAAAACAAAAGTATTTTCTTTGTTTGCCTCAGATGTGGGAAAATAAGATGGTTCTGTTTTAGCTCCCCAATGAGTAGCCATTGTAGCCAAGTTTAGAACCTTGTTCCAGGGTCAGAGGAAAAATTCTCATTAGTTTCAATGGATTTTACATAAAAAACAAAACTGGGAGTTAGAAACATCTGGTCTATGGGCTGACTATAGTCCATGCTGTCATTTCCTCTGTTCAAAGTCACATTTTTTTCTGTGTTACTCCAGGATGACAGAGTTGTGTGCTGACATTTGATTCTCAGCAGAGAACAGGGATAATGAGACCTTTATCCACCCTTTGCAAGCAACTGTTCAAACTGCAGTCTGATATGAAAAACAACAGAAAATGAGCTTTGACCAAAATAAATGTCTCTTGCTTCAAATTTAAAGCCTCTTTTCCTCAAGTGTTGAGAGAAAATGAAAATTTTTCTTGTCATAGATGGAAAATAGTAACTTAAATACTCTGTTCAGCAATTCCAACGCCCTATGCTTCTGACATGTCCTGGCAGTAATGGAAGTGAAGCTGAGTTTTCAATTCAGTAGTAATCTAGACCTAATCCAAAATCTGATGCCACTTTGTGAAATCACAGTTGCTGTCCAATGTGTTGTAACTGATCTGTGTGAAAACCTCCCCTGTACAGCCCACACACACAGTCATGATTTTTAAAGCTGCCACTTTAGACATGGCCTTATTTACTTGATGTTACCATCAGCAAACTACATGTGAAAGGCAGAACAACCCACTGAGTAAATCAAGTAATGTGGCTTATACCTTCCAGCAATACTCTTGAATTAGTGAAGGAAAAATTTATACACTGTGTTGATGGGGTGAAAAAGAAAGGATAAAGTTATATTTTAAGGTAATTTAAAATGAACTTTAAAAAGGCAATTTTAAAAGATTGGAAGAGAAATACTGTACTTTCAGTATGAGAGGTGGAACAGGACATTGTTGCACATTCTGTGTCCTTCAGGAGTGGAAGTGGCTGAGCTCTCCCAGGGATGCATTGCCACTTTTACTCCTCAGGAAAGTGATTCTACTTCAGTAGCAGGCAGTATACTGGTAAATCATATCGAAATGAAAGGCTTGGGGTAATTCTTTAGTTATCTTGTAATTTGAGGGGAGTTTTGTACATTTTATGAGCTTATGTGATTTTAAAATGTTCATTGCCAGTGTAGAACCTATAAAATCAGGAGAGAAATTTCTTGTCTGTGGGCCTGTAATTAGACCTGTGATATAAAATGTATTTTCCAGCTAGGCTCCTGCACGGAGAGAATAAAACTGTTGAACATTAAGCTTTTCATTTATGCCAAGGAATATACAAAAAACAAGGATCTCCAAGCGCTGAATATTAATATACAGTTTCACCACAGCTACAGTTTCCAGATATGTGGAAAACTAACATGGTGAAAAGCAAAATTTTATTTTTGGTTATTTTCTTCTAATTTCTATGTTTACAGATAGGGAAAACAGGTGCCTATCTGCAGTTCCTCAGTATTTTGTCCCGAATGCTGATTAGACTGACAGAAGTGGATGTTTATGATGAGGAAGAAATCAACATTAGTAAGTTACTGATATAAAAATATTCTGGAGAAAATAGAAAATTGTTATGCTGAATTGAAATACAGTTGTCTCTATATTCTGTGCCTGTTCTATCCTATTCACTTTTGCAATTGCTTTACATTATATAAATACTGTAAGAAAAAATTTCTGTGATTAATAAATTTTTAAGAATTTAAAATTAAGAACTTAAGAACATTTTATTATTTATTCATCATTTAGAATTTAAGCAAAGAACATACCTCTGTTTTTTGTGGAAAGGGATAGACAGCATTTATATATATTAAATGATATCCAGCCATTGGTCTTCAGTGTGGAATTGGAATGAACTTTTATGATAAAGCATATAAAAGGAATAATTGAAATTTTGTCAGATTTATACCATGAGGAGCAATGGCATATTTTCTTATTATACAGGATTACCTGAGAGAGGGAAGCTTCTGCTCTGTAATATCTAATTTTAGTCCAAACTTGCTTTATTTACAGTGTATTACTCCTCTGTGTTTCCAGATGTATTTCTGTCAGACAGGACGTGAAGATAATTTTTAAAAGGTGGAGTTGTGTTGAGGTACAAGGTTCATTTGTGCAAAAGTTTACCTCTTGGTGCATAATGACATTATGTCATCAGACTAATGAAAGAAAAAATGAAGCAGGAATAATAGGTACAGTAAAACCATCTACAGCAATATAAAGAGCTTAAAAAAATTCTGAATTGTTATTTTTCAATAATATCATAGACATAAAAGAAGAAGAAGCTGATCAATACTACCATCAGCCTGGAGATATGTGGCCAGATTTGGAGTCATTTAAGAAGATGCCTTTTGACTACACCATCCATGATCCAAAATATGAAGATGCAAGTCTGATTTGTTCAAAGATTCAGACTACAAACAGCGAAGGTTAGAATTTTTTAAATCCTGATTGGTACACATATATGTATTTATTTGTTTTTAATGTGAGAATCCTGTTAAACTTTTAAGAAGAGAGTTAAAACATCAGAATTGTTTTTGGTTAAGTAATAGTGAAAAAATATTTCAAGTTTTCCAAATGAAGTACGAAAACACGACCCTTATAAATGACTTATGGAAAATTATATGGATAGTCTTTCATTAAAAAAAGCTCTAGTTCCACAATAAGTTTGTGTTGAATTATAAAGCAGCATTGTCCTGCTCTGTAGCAATGCAATGCTTTATGTGAATAAGGTTAGCTTTCTGCTTAAAAGTATGTGTAGGTTTATTTTTTAGGTTTTAGGTTAGGTTTGGAAAGCATGAGATGAACATGCTCAGATCTATATTCCTGGAGTATTGATGTGTGAATTAGTCCTCTGAATTAACCAGCTGGACATACACAGGCCTGTGAGACAGAGGGGCAGGGAGGAAACCTGAAAGGAAGGAGGGAGGAAATCAAGGTCAGAAAGACCTTGCCAGGCTGGAGAAATGGAACCTCAGGAACAGGACCCTGTTGAACAGTTCACCAAACATGCCCCTTGCACTTGGGTTAGAATAATTTTATTCAGCTGTACAAGTTTGGGGCCAGCTCTGTAGACAGCAGCTTTGATAAAGGTGACTTGATGGTCCTGGTTGACAGCAATTGAACATGAGCCACCAGTTCTCCACTGGGTTAATGGCTTACTAATAATCTAGCAGCAGGTCAAGGGAAGTGATTATTCTTCTGTGACAGCAACTCTAAGGCCACATCTGGGTATTCTGTCAAGTTTTTGGCTTCCCAGTATGAGAAAGACGTTGACATAGAGAAGTGAGGCCAGTGAGCAGCCACCAAGATATGGAAAAAATTGGAGTGAACTGGGTTTGTTTCATCTGGGGATGTGAAAAAAAAATAAAATTTGCAGAATAGAAGTGGTCAAACCATGGAGCAGGTTGCCCAGAGAGATCAGGAAAACTCCACTCTTGGTGATTTTTGAAACTTAACATGACAAGGAAAAGCTTTGAGCAACTTGATTTGATGCTGAAAATCTGAGTGGAAGATTAAGTAGCAAATTCCTTTTCAGCACAAAATACACCTCATTTTCCCTCAGCCTCTCAAAAAAGGATCCTTTGAAAAATATGGATATATACTAAGGAGCAGCATCACTAAAATGCCAAATTCATTTCACATAATCTACTGTGATATCTGTCACAGAATGGCAAATGTAATGAGGCTCTTTTTTACTATTTATTGCTTTTGTAAGCATTCTACCAATAATAGCAACAATGAAAATTTTAATGATTAGGTACTGCTTACATCTTAGACTTATGTAAAGTCTGTACTGACTTGTCATAATAATGAATTTGTAGATAATTCCTTGTAGTTCTCGTGCTGTACATAGCAATTTATAATATCTGCTGTGCTCAGAATGAATTAATAGTTTTGTATGTCTTTTATATTGGCATTTTTCCTAGAAGCTGCTTTCAGTGACAGAAACAGTCTGTCATGTGTTGTACATAGCAATTTATAAAATCTACTGTGCTCAGAATGAATTAATGGTTTGTTTTGTATTGCCATTTTCCTAGAAGCTGCTTTCAGTGACAGAAACAGTCTGTCACAAGAGAATACATTCTAGCCTTGAATATATGTTACATTTAATTTGTTTCTTTTCTTAATAGACAAATCAAAGAGCAGGAGACAGGAAGATATGTACACGTGCCGTCAAACAACTAGGATGAGACTGTCCAAGTATGCAGCATACAACACCTACCATCACTGTGAGCAGTGCCATCAGTACATGGGTTTCAATCCCAGGTACCAGGTAAAGATTTCCAGGTGTTACTCTGCAGATCAGAAGCTGAAGCACACACAGCCCAAACACAGTTTCTCTACATTTGCTGTGTTTTAATTGGCTTAGAAGTTGTATGTGTGTACATATACAGCTGATGAACAGATTTTGTTATTTCTTGAGGTTTGCCTGCCTTGGCTAGGCTGCAGTTTGGGGAGATCAGAGGACCAACACTTGTGTCATTTACACTCATTTATTCAGGGCTGTGATCTGCATGTGTACTACCAGTTAAAACTGCTTTCCCAGTAAGCTTTCCACTGGGCTTTGCTTAAGTGGAAAAGTTTGCACCTGAGTGGCTGCAAGAGGTGCTACTATCTGATACAGGAGTAGTCCAGCACAGAGTAGTCTGTGTGTGGTATACAACTTGCTTTTACTCAGAATAACCCTATAATTTCTTGCCTATTATAATGTGAAGAAGAAAGTGTCAGCAATGCAAATACTGTTTTTTATGTGCCAGTATTTCTGAAAGCCAGGAGGGGCCTGTAAGTATTGGTGCCATCTGCAAGATGAAACTGAAACAAAAGTTTCAAAAGAGGGAACCCTTTAATCTGTATTTTTTTAGTGTAAGTTCTAGCCTAGGGAATATTGCCTAACACTTATTGAATAATGAAGTTAAATATAATGTCATGCAGCAAGTGACTGTAATCTGTTTAGCAATGTTGTAAATGTATATAAACTACCTTGATACCTTGTGGTTTGACTTTAACTGGAATTATCATATTTTTTCCCATCCTTAGATTTATGAGTCCACTCTGCATGCATTTGCCTTTTCATATTCTATGCTGGGAGAAGAAATACAACTGCATTTTATCATTCCAAAATCAAAGGAGCATCATTTTGTCTTTAGCCAACCAGGAAGACAGCTGGAAAGTATGAGGCTACCACTGGTCACAGATAAGGTAGCTTATCTGTAGATATTTTTATATCTAAATTTTATAGATATTTTTATTTCTATTTATGGCCATATATAGGAGAGAGACACCACCAATTTCAAAATTTGTTGAATTAGTATTCTCTATACGACTATTCCTACTGTCAAGAGACAATGAAGTTGTCCTTATGCTAAGCTTGTATTTTCTCCCAGAAAGGGATATGTGAAAAAAAAATTGTCAAGATGCCAAAAGCTCTATCTGTTGGTCATAGTCAAGGCTGATCCTTCGGTATAAACAGTCTTATCTGTGACAAAAGGTCTTTGGTTATGGGTTTGAGATGTTAAAGTGAGAATTGTTTCTGCAAAGAAACTCAAAGATACGATTTAAGTTCTCATGGAGGTAAGTAAGAGGAAGCATTTTTTTTCTGTAGAGAAACAGCAGTGGAATATCCTGTTTTATTCTGCGTAAATGCTTAGTTACTTTCATATAAAAATAATGCTTTCAAAGAATCTTAGTCATGGCTTCAAGACTGTATAAAGAATCACATGTCATGCTTGTAGAAAGGTCATCTATTTGACAGGCTCTGACCACAGAATCACAGAATATGCTGAGTTGGAAGGGACCCACAAGGATCACTGAGTCCAGCTGCTGGCCCTGCACTGCACCATCCCCAGGAGTCACACCCTGTGGCTGAGAGCATTGTCCTAACACTTCTTGAGCTCTGCCAGGCTGGTGCTGTGATCACTTCCCTGGGGAGCTGTTCCAGTGCCCAACCACCCTCTGGGGGAAGAAAAATTTTCTGTATCCAACCTAAACCACCCCTGACACAGCTTCAGGCCATTTCCTCAGGTCCTGTCCCTGCTCACCACAGAGCAGAGATCAGTGCCTGCCCCTCCTCTTCCCCTCATGAGGAAGCTGTAACTGCAGTGAGGCCTCCTCTCAGTCTCCTCCAGGCTGAACAGAAAAAGTGACCTCAGCTACTCCTCATACAGGTTCCCCTTATTGCTCTTCACCATCCTTGCTGCCCTCCTTTGGACACTCTCTAATAGTCTAATATTTTTCTTATATTGTGGTGCCCAAAACTGCACAGAATATTCAAGGTGAGGCCACACTGGTGCAGAGATGTTGACCTTTACAGAGATTCCTGATGCCCACATCTAAGGTGAAGCTGTGCCTTGCTCAGGCCACACTGCTTAGAGTATTGAAGCAATTTGTGGAGCAGCAGTAAGCAGTAGCATGTATATCCTGGAGGAAATAAGCTGCTTCCAATAAACAGTAAAAAGTCAATATCACCCTCCAGTTCAAGTTTTAAATAGAAGAACCTAGACAGCAACACAACAGCAGTATAAGAATGACATCGCCCTCACCCAGTAAACTTGTGCTTGGCTACATGTCTGGAACTGTGCACTGGGTCCTTCTGGATTCTTTTCTTGCTTCTGCCACTGACCTGGTCTGAGGCTTGGACAATTAAGGATTATTCTCCCTTTGCTTCTGTTTCTATTCCCTTGCTGCAGTCAGAAGAGTTGTACTGTAGTTTTGGAGTAAGGTGTTTCTTGCAGTTCTATATCATATGGACCTAAATCCTTTTCCAGATCTATCCTCAAGGTACCACTGCACTTGGCAGGCCAAGGTTAGCAGTTCTGTCCATTCCACCACACTCTCATTGGTCAAATAAGCTCAATTATACAGTTTTGGGGTTTTTTTCCAATTTTTATAAAAGTTGTTTGTTTTCCTGTCAAGGAAGTTTAAAATGTGTCAGTTTGTCTAGTATTAGTGGATCTGATTTATTCTCCTGAAGAATCCATTTCTCCTTTTTCTCTCTGGATTAATACAGAAGCTTACACTTCTTTTTACCTACAGAGTGAAGACTACATAAAAAGCCCCACTTTTACTCCCACCACTGGCCGTCATGAACATGGGCTTTTCAATTTATATCATGCAATGGATGGAGCCAGTCATTTGCACGTTTTAGTTGTCAAGGAGTATGAAATGGCCATATATAAGAAGTATTGGCCCAACCACATCATGCTTGTTCTTCCAAGCATTTTCAACAGTGCAGGAGTAGGTAAGTGTAACAAAAGCTTCTAAAAACTGTAGACGCACAACTTGGGTCCTTAAGGTGTTGTTATTTGATAGTGAAATGTAGACACACAGCTTGCAGCTAGGATGTCTGATCTGGTGATCTGGATTTCCTCTGAAGATGATGTGTCACAGCTGAAGATACACTTCTCTTAATCCAGGACATGCAGAACAAGCTCAATTAATTGCACCCTAGAAATACTTAACTCTTCTATTGTCTTTGAAAGAAGCTGAGGGTGTTAAAACTCAGATGGAGTTACTGACTGTTTCCTTGTGGAAATAAGTTGTGTACTATTTGCATGGGCAGTGATGCTCTGGTTTGGTACATCCCTCAGGAAGGTTCTGATAATACAACATCTGTGAAATAGTCAACCCTTTGCCTGTGCTGCTGGAACGCCTTATATACAGCAGTAGTGACAAACATTCAAAGCAGATCACCAGGGACAATTTCCAGTGTCATTCAGCTGGTCAGTCAGCATCACTAACTCTTTGCACCAAGACTTGCTAACAAACACAAATATTGTTAAAAAAAGTAGTCACTAAATCCTTTAAGATACTAAAAAATCTTTACCACAGAAGTCAGGACTCATTTTTCATTCTTCCCAATGTGGTTCTTTAAGTCACTTGCTTGGCAAATTACAAAACAAGTTGGCTCTGGGGGGTGGTGGGGTTAAAATCTTCGCTGTGATTTATACCCTTGTCTATGCAGAAATAATCACTTCAAAAGGATTCTGAGTTAAAAGCAAACAGTTTCTGCCTCTATTTTTAATCTGGTGGTTTATGCCCATGGTTTCAGGTGCTGCACACTTCCTGATTAAAGAGTTGTCTTATCATAACCTGGAGCTGGAACGGAATCGGCAGGAAGAGCTGGGGATAAAACCCCAGGATATTTGGCCTTTCATTGTCATTTCAGATGACTCCTGTGTTATGTGGAATGCAGTAGAAGTTGATTGTTCAGGAGACAGGAAAAGGTAAATAGTGTAATATATGCTTTTTCATCTCATCTCTTTTAACCTTTCTCTGCATGTAATTTTGAAATTATGTTTGCTATACTACAACTTCTACTCTGTACAAGCAGAGAATTTGCCCAAGGAGGGTACTTTCCTAGGTATCTGTCTTTGCATAGCACATAGTGTAGTGCCTGTTTTTCATTCCTGTCCCCTGAGGATTTATGTGCCCTGCTGTTGCTGCTCAAGCTAGAGTTACTTGGACTGCAGATTTCAGACTCTGTAAACACTCCCTGATACCATGTCTATTTTTCACCAGATTTTTCTAGGGAAGCTAAATGACAGTTCTGTGCAAATTGTGCAGCTGATTTCCTTTGGCTTTTGTCAGTCCCAGTCTGTGTGTCTCCTTTATGAGTTCCCCAAATCCCTGAACTAGCATTTTTGCTTTCATTGCTTTAGAATATTGTTTGTGCTAGATACTTTTATCTATTCCATGAACAGACTATGCAGAATTTATATAAAACTTTCAGAGAGAATGACACTCAAGGAAAACTGAGATTTATGGACTCTAGGTGTGGGCTAGAAGGATCTTAATACTTTGTGCTTAAGTTATGGCACAAGTCAGCAACTCTCCAAGATTCATTGGAATATTATCTAGGTAACTTTAAAAGTTTACATATCTGAGTGAATCAAAGTGAATTCACTGAGTGAATATTTTGAGAGATCTAGACTAAGTTTCAGATCTGTCATACCTGTCCCCACCACATAAGCACTAGATAATTTTAACTATAGTGAGAGACAAAAAAATACAGTAAAGTAAGACAACACTAAAGTTATGTACCTGAAAATCATAACAACTTCCAACTGTTAAAAATTGCTCTTCAGCTGAAAGCGATTCTGAATGTTCTCTATATATTTTAAAATTAACACATTTTCATAATTATTGTAGTGACTATACATGGACTGAAAGGAATGTTTCCCTGAAGCAAATTTTGCAACACATTGAAGCAACTCCCAATGTCACTCATTATGCCCTAATTGGAATGAGGAAATGGTCTAGTAAAACAAACAGTGCTGAGATCAAGGAACCGTTCTCCTGCTGCCATGTGCATGACTTCATTATGCTAAATGTGGATCTGACACAGAATGTGCAGTACAATCAGAACAGGTAAGTGAATCGGTAGCACTTCTCAGCAGAGGTGATGAACCAAATAAAGAAAGTTTTACCAAAGCTCTTGTTTCTTTAGGGAGGTTGTGAATGGCATACAGACAGTTTTTGCTTTCTTACTGGTGATTCAAATCCTTCCCAGGCTGCCAGAAGTTGGAAAAAGACATTAATTTCTATGGTTCCAAATAAAACAGTGATAACAAAGTGACAGGACAGACATAGACACCAGTGGACTCTGCAGTATTGGTCTACTCCAAGTAGCCTTTAGTAAATAATGTACTTCCTTTCTTGTCTGCCTAACTGTTCTCCCTTCCAAAGGAAACAGGGATATATGGATGAATGGTGCATAACCAAATCTCATTCTGATATATGTATATCTGGGCTTTTTACCCTGAGTAGCACAACATTGCAGCATACCACATGTGTGCTCATCAGGACAATCAGAAGAAAAGAATAAATAAGAAAAGAATAAATAATTCTTGTTCACATTGGTGTTTTTTTCTTGCATTCAGCTGTCTCAGAAATTCCACTTTTTCAGTTATTATATTAGATATATTAGATTATAATTTTGTCATGCACAGCATTACCACAGCTGACAGAACTGTATTCGCTAAATTCGTAGTCTCACAGAATTTCACTGATCTGTATGAAATAAAACTGTGGGTTTCCCCCCATTTCTGAGGGACATGCATTTATAACAACAGAATGAAGTGTGTATATTCATGGATATCTTTCTTATTCTAAGGCACTGAAAGACCAGTTTTAGACAAGTGAATCCCACCTCTAGTGATACATACACACTGGAAGGTATGACATGAAATGTGTGGTTTTCTCGATGCTGGGTGGGATAGCCCAGGTAATTAAAATGTCTCTACACAGCTACACTTAGGTAACTGAACATCAGGCACTGTGCTTTTCAGAAGAACTCTGCTAACTCAGGAAGATATCTTTTGAGGCTCAAGCTTACTTACAACTGCAGGGAAGCATTCTGTGTTCATTATTCTGTGAATAAACAGATGTTGTGTATTTCTGTTGTCACCAGCCTGGCATCTTAAAAGAACAAATTTGCCCCTGTGCATCTCCTAGTAGAGAACTGTGCTCCCAGGCTGCCTAAGTGTGTTACCTTGTGAAGCATTATGTATGAAGGGCAAATAGAGACAATGACAATAAAGCAAAATTATATGAGTACAAGCAGCAATGTTAAAATGTCAGGAATGCCACATCACACCACCCATTTCCTGCCTCTGCCTTTCAACCACATGAGGCTCAGGTTAATCCTGTGTGGGTACTGCTGAGTGTGAAGTATTGTATGGCACTCCAAGCCTGGGCAAGGAAAAAGGTGGTACATTTTAAAACCCAGAGGCAGGGACCGTCAGGAATATCAAATAACCATGTAGGTATTGCTAATATCAAAGACAAAACTTTAAAAACTTATAACTGAATGCCATGTTGCTCACTGGTGTTGACTGTTGCACTGATTGCTTAAATTCAAGCCCTGGATGTCAGTCCAATGGTTCTGCACATCATCCTGTTTCCTTTGTAATAAATATATTCAAAATGGAGAACTGAGTCTGAATTTTCCAGAGATCAGAGTATTTGAATTTAGGCATCTTCAGGAGTTTACCTTTTATTCTGTTCCTTTATATTTTTTAAATGGGTCAAATTTAGCTTAGGGATGTTTGGCCTCATTCTGCTTAATCTTTTCCTGTGTCTCAGCAGTTCTCTTGTATAAAGACTCCCTGTCTTCAAATAGTTTTAGTTTCTAAAATAAAATTACATTAGTTCTGTAGAGGAACCTTGAAAAAATTGCTATCTATTCATATTCTGAGGGGAAAATGAGTAGTCAGATACTTCTGTGCATTTGATAAATCAAATGTAAGGCCTCATCCTTTTCCTGGGAAGTCAAAGGAATTAATTTCCTTGACTGTATTTGGGGTGGTAATGTATGTAACAATTTCTTATGACTCCATTATTATAGTAAAAGGCAAAAAAAAAAAAAGTTATAACTCCTGTGTATTTTCCTTAGCAATTTACTGCCTTTCTCCTTTACACTTTTGATCCTTTCCCTCCCTAAGTGTTTTCCTCTGTCATTCTGGTTTTCTCAAACTGATGCTAGCCCAGTTTGTTACTACAAAGCTGAAGCCCCTTTTCCTGACTGATAGGCAGAGGTGGAGGGTCAGTATGTTTGATACCTGTCCTTTCTATGGTGCTGAGCAAAGGCTCTGAGTGCTTGTATTTGTCAGTGTGTGATGAGGAACGTTCCTCTGACCTGCTATGATTTTCTCTTTCCAGATTTACATGTGATGATGTTGACTTCAACTTGCGTGTCCACAGTGCTGGCCTTCTCATCTGTCGGTTCAACCACTTCAATGTCATGAAAAAGCAAATTGCAGTTGGAGGACAACGATCCTTCCACATAAAGTCTAAGGTGGGAACTAAGACCTCTGTGGCATTGTTGTTAAAATTCTGTTTTCCTTTTTTGTCTTTTTTAACTAGGAGAACTGAGGTATTTTGGTGCATCATCTGTTGCCAGTAATGGGGTATGTCTGCCACTTGGGGCTTTAAAAAATTATTTATTTTTGAAATCCACAATATTCTTGTCATAAATACAACTTTCCTTAATATTTTTCCTTCAAAACTTCGAAAAACACATGAAGTGTCTCTTTGCAATCCAAGTAACCATTCACTATGTGGATTTTATCTACAGCTATAGAATTGGTCATCGTTATGTGACTTCATAGTTAGGAATATTTGAGTTCAAAGAAGAAACCTCAAAGGCTATAAACACAAATATAATTTTATGAAACTGAAACTGTTTTGGTAGCAGATATTTTTTGCTGAATAACTTTTCTTCTTATGTAAAACTTAGATTTGTAGGGTAGAGGTGTATTCCATACAAACCAGAATTCACATAAATACAACTTGATTAATTAAGATTGATCTGTATGAGAAATATTTTTTCCTCACAGGTATCTGACACTCCAGTTTCAATCTCCCCTGCTCAGTACATTTGTGCTCCTGACAGCAAGCACACCTTCTTGGCAGCACCTGCTCAGTTGCTCCTTGAAAAGTATCTCCAGTATCACAGCCATCGCTTCTTCCCTCTCTCACTGAAGAATTACAGCCATCCAGTGCTATCTGTGGACTGTTACCTTAACTTAGGACCACAGGTACTGAACAAAATAATCCCCAAGTCGCTCTGGGAATGCGTAGGCTCTGTTTTGGGTGGGTTATTGATGTATTCCTTTGAAGAATGAAGTACATTCCTATAATGTTAAAATCAAATTCATAGATACCATAGAGATATTGTCAGAGGCTTCAATTAAAGTACATGGAGAGAAATCCCAGAATTGTCCTAAATACTAATATAGTCTGTGAAGTGTTTTCTCAATCTGCTATAATTTGGCTCTTCTTACAGAATATTTCTTCCACAAGAGGGTTTTATAAATACTAGATAACTCTTAGAAAGCACTTCAAATATATAGATGTTTTAGTTGACTTCAGACTGATAAGCTGAGGCAGAGAATCAAATACTAGACAACCAGTGGGAATGGGAGAAGCTGACATTAAGTCTCAGGAGCTGTTGGCTCTCTCTGATGAGTCTAGATCTAAAGCCAAGGTTGTGCTTCAACTCAAATATGTCAGTAGAAATTTGTACTACGGTGGTGTGGTTCAGGAGAGAGGGACTGTTTTTATCTTTTCACTGAATACCAAATAAAATTCAGTTGTTCTGGGTTTACTGAACTTCTCTTCCAAAGAGCTGTGTAATAACCTTCCCATGTATGCTGCTCCCACAATATTTTTCATTTCTTAGGCTTTTGTTTCCACCATGTTTGGAAAAACAAGCTTTGTGGGAGGGCATTGTACTGTTACTGTCTTCATCTATTGCATGCTTTCAGCTCTGACATGTTCACCACATGAAATAGTTTCAATTTCATTCTGGAATTGCTGCCTCAGCTGGAATTTGATACAGTAGGATTGAAAGAATATGGAATAGGCATCCTGGTACAGAGTCTCAGTTCCTGAGGTTCAGCCTTCCTCCACTCAATCATGCTGATCCATGCCAGATGAGGATGTATCCCATCTAAGTAGTACAGTGCCACTTTTGAAACAAAGCAGTGTGTGGAAGATTCCCTTAATCTGAATTTGTAAATCCTGAAAGAGTGCTGTAAATATTCCCTTTCCTAGTGGATTTCAGGAATAGCCATAAAAACAAACCAGGCAAGAGGAAACCTCATAAATTCATGTATATGCATAACTCTACTGATTTGAGTAATCCTTGAGTAATGTAAATGAAATTTGGAATTTCTAAGGGTCCTTTTCATGTCTGACTATAGAGTTATTGTATTTACTCACATATAAATAAAATGTGCTGGGCAGGTCACAGCATTATGGTTGTGGGGAGCTATTGTTACTGCAGCTTTCAAACTCTATCACATCTAAGCCTCATGATAATAATAATAATAATGAATAATAACAATACATAATTATGAACTGTGCTTATGTATATTGTTAATAAGTAGTGCTATGTTTTGGAAGGAATTATAAAACTCACAATATTTGGAGTTGGAAAGAAAGTCTGAATTTGAATCAAGTGCAGATACTGGAAACTTCATATGGAAGCTTTAAAGATGTTAATTTTTTTCCACCCTCTCCCAATCAGATTGCAGTTTGCTACGTGAGTTCTCGGCCTCATTCTCTGAATATCAGTTCCTCTGGTTTGACATTCAGTGGTCTCCTGCTGTACCTCTGTGACTCCTTTGTTGTGGCTAGCTTTTTGAAGAAGTTTCATTTTCTTAAAGGTGAGCTGCAATAATTTTATTACAAAGAATTAGGTGACATGGTCTCTGAGAATGTGGGGAAAATCTATTTTATCTGTGTTTTAAGTCTATTATATTTGGTTATATTTGTTTAATATATATGCATATGCATGGATTCATATTTGTCTTTATATGTTGCACCCAACTTTGATGTTTGATCAGGCTTGCTCTGCACTGTAGTAAGCTGGTAAATAGCAGTGCTATAACTTCTGCAGATTTCTAAGTGGGAAGGAATGTTGCATCCATATCATCATGCCTAGAGTGTGTGCACAACTCCTTAGTCTGTTTGAAAACTGAGTATTGAAGATTTATGCATGAAGCATTTACCTACTGTGTTCTTGCAGCTTTTCCAAATTTCGATAGAAGATGGGTGATTGACAAGCCTTTATCAAAATCTATTTTCTATTTTTAGAAATAGAAATTTGCTCATTTAAGATTTATTCCTGATACCCAGTTTCTCCATGTAAAACTTATGATGGTGTGCAGCAGTGGAGACACCTTCCACTTGTGTTGCAGACAGTCATATTGCAAACTTCCTTTGGATCCTTCCGCTGCTATCTTAGGCATTTGGTGCTCTGGGGCTTTGTTTCTCTCATCTGTGACTGTCACTGGGAGAAGAGCACCATGGTTAGTGGCTCTTTAAACTGGCAGAGTTGTTATAAACTGCTGTGGTCTTCGTTGCAGCTAAAACAGAGGCTCCCAGTCAGTCTCATTTTGCAAAAACCAGTCAATTTTTATATAATGTAGCACAAAGTGTGTTTGCTTTGGGATTTCTCCATCTCCCCAGGCAGTCTGCTTGATTTTCTAACCCATCATATAAGAATTAAACTGTGACTGTCTGTCTTGTTTATTTTTATATTCACGGGATATTTTTTGTCTTGGGCATTACCACTTACCTCACCATTTCTCATTTAGATTACTGTATGCTGGTGAGGTAATTATTTTCTCTTAAAGGAGGCCTTTTCTCAGAAGTCATAAAGCCATGCACATAAGTTAAAGGGGTTATCAGCATGCCAGACAAGACAGTTGGCATTGGTTACTGAAGTATGATTTTTTTAATTTGGCATTCTGGGTTTGCTTGTGTCTGTAGCCACATAGACCAGATTCTTTCTTGCCAGCAAATGAGTTTACCAATCCAAAAGCCACTAAAATTTGTGATGAAAGACATGTTTAGACCATTTCTGGGCAGCAAAGCACAAAGAGCTTAGTCAGCCATCACAGTGATTGCTGTGTGGGTTTTGCTGAGTGAAGGTTTCACTCAACAAAGGTAAGGATCAGGAGGGCTACAACAGGAATGGATGTAGGGCTTTTAACTGGTTTACTGTCAGGACCCATCACGACCTCCTTAGACCTGCCAGTTTTACTTTTCCTACCCTAAGGATCATGGAAAGTGCTTCTAGTCCTGTTTACTAGATGATGATGATGTATCTCAAGTTACACAAGAAGATCCTGACAAATAGGTAGCTGAACATAGCTCTCAAGTCCTACCTGAGCGCCTTAATTTTCTCCCAAGCCCATTTGTAACTCCCGATGTGAAAGGAGTGGAGTTCTCCGCGCAGGGTGGTGGGAGGTGCGTGGTCTGAGAACAAAGGGGATACTCATGTGAGTTTCTTTGAACTGTTTGCCCAGGTGCCACCCTGTGTGTGATTTGCCAGGATCGCAATTCTCTCCGCCAGACCGTTGTCCGCTTGGAGCTGGAGGATGAATGGCAGTTCCGCCTGCGGGACGAATTCCAGACTGCCAATGCCAAAGAGGACAGACCACTCTTCTTCCTGACTGGACGACACATTTAATTGAAAAGAGACACATTTCCTGAATGACACAAGACACTAATTGCCATCATATCACGAAATTACTTTTGAGAGGCTCTGCTTTCTGAACAGAAACAGGACTGTTTTCTGTTGTTTATTAGAATGATATCTAATCAGACAGCTTAAGATCTTATTTGCAAACATTGAAGTGACTTTTCTAATTTAATGTTCTGATGGAAGTCATGCCTAATTCCTGACAGAGACACAAAGACCTAATGTGGTGGACAGCATTTCATAGCAGAAGAGAGTTCAATGAGTGCACTTCTTCTGTGACAAAGAAGACCATATGCAAGTTCATAAAGAAAAGGGTTAGGAAACTTTTTGCACATTCCAGAAATAGGAAATGTAAATTTAGGAGCAGGTTCTGGTTTACAAGTCTTATTTATCAAACAGTTGGCATAGGGCAACAGGAGTTGGTACAGTTCTGTGGTATACTGCTTCTGATTGATCCAGGCAGGCTTTTTACATAAAGATTTGTAAAGTATATTTCTTTAACAGTAGGAACTCAGCTGAAGCTTTAATTTTTGAAATAAGTGCCACACTGGATAGTTTTACCATGCAAGACTGTTGGAGTAGAAGACTAATTATATGTCTGGTTTTATTAGCATAAGGAAGAGAGTTAACAAGGTAGATGGTAAAATGAGATCTGAACATTTAAACCTGAAACGGATATTAACTTGAGTAACTGAAGAGATCAAATGGTGGGACTGACCTGCAAGTGATTTATTTCTAGAAAAGTGATGCTTTGTGACTAAACTGTAGACTGGCTGTAGACTTCAAGCTGAGGCAAGTGCACTCAGGAAAGCCTATGAAATGGTTCTAAAACACTCCCAATACACTTTCTGGGGATATTTTCTTGCCAAGGTGCTTCAAAGGAGTGAGAAAATGGAGATTACAATGCTGAGAAATTCAGGTGAAAATCTAAAACCATGTTTTTGAACAGCACCGGGCATTGTGATGTTTCATACGCTCTAAATGTTAAATCAGTGGTCACTGTCTTTGTCTTGGTGTTTGGGAATGCGGTGGAAGCTGCAAGCTTCCCGTTTGTCTTTATGCAATCAGTGTTAATGTCACTCAGTCAAGGTGTAGGCAGGATGAGTACAGACATTGTCAGAGGATATCTAACATTTGGGCAGGCCTTTCTGGCTGGATACACCAGTGAGGGGATCACTGGCTTTATACAGATGAATTGCCATTGGGTGGCTGAGTCTGTTGCAGTCTGGCCTTGAAACGCAGGCATCCGTATGACTATGCCAAAGAGCTAATTTAGGTTAATTTACAGAGGAAATGTAAGTTCTGTAAGTTGTGAATTCTGTAAGAGATGTGGATTGCTATCTACAAGGAAACTGCTGGCAATCAGTGTGCTTCTGTATTTCATTGTTTGTGTTTCAGAGTGAGAATTCACTTTAAGTTTTGTGAAGGAAGGTCAGCATTGGCCTATGTAAATAGTATTACTGTTCAGTTGTCACCAGTTGATTAGTTAATTTAAACTTTTTTTAAGGAAGTGTGACATTTATGTCTTTATAAATAAAGTTCATGCTGCATGGACATCTGTCTTGGTGATGTACTGGACCAATAAGTACACACACTTTTGCAGTGGAAAAAAACAGAGGAAAAGCACTGGCTGAAAGGAGTTAATATAATTAAGGAATGACCTGAACTGATCAAGAGAAAATACTGTTACTTCTTAATGGCCTACAACATAACACAGCCTCAAAAGTATAAGGGCTTTTGCAAGAACTCAGATTGAAAGACAGTGAGTTGAAATTTCCTTTCCTGTAACCAAATGTTTAAACAACTTACACCAAGTGTCCATTAACCTTTTTCTGTGTTTTGGGTCTGATATTTACTTTGTCAGTCTTTAGACATCCATTTTCTCCAAGAAACTAAAAAAGCCCTAAAGTACAAAATAATTAAAAAATAAATAACAAATAAATAATGTCCTTTCTTAACATTCTCTTTTGGCATAAAGTTTCCAAAACTTTGACAAAATACAGCTGATAGTTACTTGAAGCCATCACACTCCTGAGTGCTGTTTCATGTTAACCTTTGTCTTTATGAATTACCTACACACTGTATCCTGTCTACAGGATAGGAGTCCCAGGGCCTGGCCTCAGCAGACCTGTGTCTGTTGTGTGACCAAGTGCAATCTTTCTCCATCATGGGCTATATTTATGAGCAATTGTATGTGATGAAAGTTGCACGCACAGCCCATTGTCTTGGAGAGCACATCCTGTAATGAACCAGATATGTCCTTACTCTGACCAAAATGCAGGTAATTCCTGTCATGCTGTGGGAGTGTCTATGCACCCACATGGTAGGAAAACACAGCATTTTGTTCACAGGAGGCCAAAAAATGATGGTGGGTGACTCAGGGAGAGACAGTCTCCAGAGCTCCATCCCAAAGTTTCTTCATCCCTGAAGTTAGTTTACAAGCTAAGCCCCACTAAAGTGTAAGCTTTCATGGAGAGGGCAATGTAGGTTTTGTGTCCAGCTGGGACTCTGAGATGATAAAGTAATACACATAAATAATAATGATAAATTAAAGCAAATCTGTTTGGGTGGGACTGGCATCCTGTGCTGAAACCCTTGGTGCTATGGTTCTTTACTGTTTGTGCATGTGTAGGGCTGGGAACCCAGGTCCCAGATCCACACTTCTCTTGTCTTTCTTTTGTGAGAAGGAATCACTGGCTTTCAGTCCCAGTGACCTTTGTGAGAAAGCTTGGCCCATGCCCGTTATGCACACAAATATTTTAAGCATTTCCTTTCTGGTTTTGGATGTGGCAAGAAAGCAGGACTCTGCATTCTGTGGATTCACTTGACAATGTGATAGCAAACAAACTTTTTATAGCCTCTGCCTTCTTCTCTAGCACCTTCCATGATTTCTGATTTAGTCATCCACTATTATCACCTGCAGATAGTATTATTAGCATTTTCTGAATTGTCTGTCAGAGAGAGAAGTAGTTTATGATTCAGCTTCTGTAAAAGACAGATTCCAAATATAGAGAAGGTTATTGGAAAGGTGACGTTATTTTCCTTCTTACCATCCTCTCTTCTCTGTTAAAGAGCTCTTCACAAGCACTTAAGCACTAAAATCTGGTATCTAATCACTGGAGGATGTTAGGGATTTCATCCCTCCCTGGCAAGTGCCTCCTGTTGTGGTGACAGGGAATGTACAGATCTCAGCTCCCACTCTGCATCTAAAAGCAGTTGCTGAACATTGCTTGTGAGGGGGTTGCTTTTCAAAGGCTGTATCTGTGTCACTCTGTGGTGGAAGGTATCACTCACACAAAAAGGAAGGTACAACAAACCCAGAGGATGGGTCAAGGGACAGCTCTGCAGGGTAGAAATTGAGGAGCAAGTGAAATGGGGGCTATGAATTGATCCAGCAGCATGGAAGAAGTTGGGGGGCAAGTAGAGCTCCCGGCTGCAGTAGGAAGTGTTTGCAGGGGCACAAGGACCCTGGGCAGGGACTATGTGCAGTGTGGAAGAATCTGGGTTTCCATGGAAGTTGGAATTCATGTAGGTGTCACGAGCACCCAGCTCAACAGGACCCAGCTATCTGCCATGGGCTGCTGCTCTGGTCTGGCTGTGAGGGTGAGTGAGGATAGTGAGCCATCCCTTCATTCCTGGGGTCCATCCCCCAGCCACAACCACAATGCTTGTGCCAGAAATGACTGTGCCAGAGCTGAGTCTCAGGGTGGTAAAGCACTACAATTACCATAAAGCCCAGCCTCTGCTTGCATCCCTCTGCCATGCGTGGCTTGCCCGGAGAGCACAGCCCTGCACCCTGCTGGGCACCCACAGCCCCATGGCACAACCTCTCACCACACCACACACACCACAGCCAGCGCCATGCTGCCTTCCCACCCTCCTGGCACAGTCCTCCTCTCCCACATCATCCTCTCAGCAACCAGTCTTAATAATTCATCAGCTGCCACTGAAATATTGTGGATATACTGGTGCGAAAAAAATCCATAATCTTCCCTTTTTCCCTACTTCCTTAAAGGTACAGCTCTTCATTGAAAAGTAAAACTAGTCCCATACATCGTCTGCCTGGTGACTCTCTTCTGTGCCTTATCCTTGCTCCAGTCTACACCTGAATAAATACTCAGTGGTTCTGGTAGCATTTGCAAATGCTTTTATAACATTTCCAGTCCTGTTTTGACAGCTCCCAAAATAACCACTGATGATTGTGGAGGACACAACTCTGGCAGTTCTGAGGCAGTAGTCCAAATGCTGACATTGTCCCCTGCTGACATATTCTTTGGCTAGGAAGTAGTGGGGTGTTAGATATAACAGTCAGACTCCTGTGCTGTGAGAAAAAGGCATTGGGAATCAACTTCCATGATTTTAAGAAAGACCTCATAAAGCAGCTTCATACATAAATATGGTTTTGATTAAAATGCTCAAGGAACTGGAAATTTTTGATTTAGATTTACATAGGAATATAAGCTGAAGGAAATGCCTCCACACTTGTTACATGACCAATGTATTGATTATGCACTTAAATGCTGAAGTATTATGAAGTATTATATATATATATATAGGAGTATTATTCTGTCAGTGTGAGCTGTTGTGCTCTGGAATATTATGACTGGCATAATTAACAATAATTAAACAGTATTCTTTATACTTAGAGACAACAGGACTGACAGGAAAGTGGGTTTTTACTTATTGCCACCTATCAGAATAATTAACAGCTAGGAGAACAGATATTGGCTCAGAGGTTATTGCAGTAATCACAGGGCTGGTTCTGCATCATAAGATACACTTTCATAAATGGGCTTTTGCAAACACATAAAACCTTTTCTTTTATGTTCATGGTGTGATTTTTCTCTACTAGACCTTAAATTATTCTTGTAAATACTGTTTATTTATTAACCTCAAAGTTCTCTCCCAGACAAGATGGCACCTGTGGTGGGGCAGGCAGGCAGCACTGTGTCCCCTTCTTAAGTCCCCCACTAGAATCATATTTAGTCTGAATTTGTAGCATCTTGAACTTTACCTCTGCAGGAGATGCAAAAAGGGAGAGCTATGACTCAGTATTTCTGTTAGGTAGTTTTTCTTTTTGCTTTCTCAATATAGCTTTCTCCTTGTACATGATGCTATGAATTTCCATAGGTGTTTATGAGACAAAAGCCTTTACAGAAAGAAAATAGAGAGAGAGAAGCTCCATAACATTTGTCCATGGAAGCTACTGTAAAGTGAAAAGCAAGTATTTTAGGAGAGTGATGCTGTTCCAGTACAGTAGAGTTGTGATTGTATTTAAATTACTCTTTAAGTTGAAAAATTATTCTGTTGAAAAATTATTCTATTAAAAAATAAGATGACTGTTATTAGTTCAGCAAAAGAAAGTTCACATAGAGGCTACCATGAACTAATATTTCTATAATTAAATATTCTAATAATTATGCTATTAAATTATTCTATTAAAAATAAGATGACTGTTATCAGTTCAGCAAAAGAAAGTTCATATAGAGGCTACCATGAGCTAATATTTCTATTTTTAAATATTCTGGAGTGATTACAATTTTTTTTTTCCTTCTCATGATACAGCACTTGCAAATGCTGTTTATAAAAAGCAACTTGCTCCTCTTTAACCTGTGTCATGTAGCGAAATCACAGGACACTGTTTAAAACTGGCATCAAAACTTCTGTTTGTAGTGCATAATTATCCAGTAAAACTTGTTGTTAGAGGATGTCACAGAGGCTGTGGGCTGATGAGAAGTCTAAAAACTGATGTGAAGCCTATATGAACTGTGAGTCTGAGAACATTTTCTGTGAATTTTGTGTCAGCTACCATTCCACATTTGTATTTGGTTGAAAACACCAACTGGGGAAGTAGCAACAAAGCTGTTAAGTCCTGAGAGTGCAAAAATGGGAAGGGAGTGAGGAAAAAGCAGCTGCTGGAGTGGTTGGGGAACACTGGGAAGAAGGCAAAGAAACTGTGGCCTGGCTGTGTGGGTGTGACAGCAAGAAGGTGCGATGGGGAGCAGATAGTGGGGATGAGAACCTTGGAGAAAGTCTGGGAAACATCATCATCATTTATGCAAATTACAGAGAAAGGTCCTTTTACATCTAGCCATTATTCCATTTATGGGTGTATTGATGAGAAGTGTTTGGTGATGGTCACCCTTGGATATGGATACCACATGCATTGATCTTGGAACAGCAATCACTGGATACATCTATGTTACCAGGAGGAAATGCCCACACTTGTTAGTGCTTCCTGGGGAAAGCAGGAAGTTCCTGAAATGGAATGGTACAGAAAATTACAAAGGCTTCAGGAATACAGTGTGCTGGAAAAGATGCACACCCACTTCTTGAAGAATTTGATAAATAAACATTACACAGCATATTACAATTATTTAAATGCTATTTCTGATAGATTGTTATAGTTACCCATCACAGCTTGAAAGAAAATTTATCAGAAGAAATGGGTGGAACAGTGGAAAATTACTCCAACAAACAGTGGTTCCTATCTTTTAAATTTGGTGAATAGACCTTTCAGCAGGGGCAGGAATGCCATTGAAATTCATTAGGCGTGGCATTTCCCTGTTTATCTGAAATGAGAAGAATTGTATTGAATTTCCTTCCCCAAAATTGTTCCAGAAAGAAAATGTGATTTGTCAGATAGCTAATAAATGGGTTTCTGTGCTTACAGTCTTAACATTCAGTGTACAACAGAAATGAGTAACTTGAGCATCTTGGTAACTCAAGTGCTGTGCTATTTTCTCTTGGAAGAGTTCCTCTACAACTTGAGGGTGACTTGGCTATTGGGCCACTTCAGATTCAGAGTTTCTAATGAGAAGTGTGAAAGAGTCTAAGTAAGCATAATTTTTTCTGATTATTAGATCTCTTCCAGATGCCTTTCACATCAGTGTCC